GTCACTCACTGCAAATCCCTTGTTCTAGGCCTAAAGGTACAGTACTCTTGCTTCTGTCAAAAGACTCTTAAGTTTAAGCCCCCCTCCCCCACTTTGGGACTTGTTTTTTTTTATGCAAATAGATTCATTATCTGAGTCTCTCCTTGGGATTTAGAGTCATTCTAGTTTCACTAAAACATACTTTGCACTGCTCTGAAGTGTCCTTTGTGTCAGTTGCTATCACTCTGATCTTTTGTGTCAGAAGGTTGTTGGTTCATGTCAGGACTTGAGCTCCAGGCTCCCAGTCTGTTGCAACGGGGACCATGATTGGTGGTGCTGTCCTACAGATGAGATGTTAAACAGGTCCCATCTGTCTTATCAGATGTACGTCAAAGATCTTTGATATTTGAAAAGAGAAGAGCTTCTCCTGGTGTATCTGGACAACAATCGCCCAGATACAATTGGTCATTCACTTAGAGGCTGTTTGTAGCCGCTTGCTGTGTACACATTAGTGATTGCTTTTGTCTACAAGTGCACATTTGACAACAATTGCTGATAAAGTGCTTTGAAATATTTCTACATCATAAGCATTATAGCAGGTGGCAGGATTATTATTAAGAGTTCCCCAAACTGTGCACCACATTGCAAAATGTGGCCTATGTAGGTCAGAATAAGTTATTTTAACTTTTAATGATGTGCCAGGGTAGCTTTTCTTCACATTGAATGAAAACTCAGTGAATGAATAATCACATCCATCTTTTCAATTCTCCTTGCCAGACTCCCTCCTACATTGACCCAATTAGTCAACCTAGTCTTACACACCATTTGTCTTCCTTATACTGCCCCCTAACCTGCCTACATATCAGCATTTTTATATAACCTACCAAGTCATTTAGAGTAGGATAAACAAGTGACCACAGCTAGAACGTTTCTAATCAGTGACTCACAGAGCTTCTATCGTTTATTATTCAGGTGTCAGCTTGACTCGGTCACCAGTACTCCCACTGAGTCAGAGTGTTGCAGGTTCATGTTGGGACTTTGAACTTGTATAGTGGGGCAGAGTTATTCAGAACTGTCAGTATCTATCCTCCGAGGGCAGACATATAATACTGGTTTATTTGAGAAACCTGTTGTCCAAGGCCCAACACTGAACTTACTTGGGAAGAATAATAATCGTTGTATTTGATATAGCGCTTTTCACGTCTTCTAGATGTCTCAAAGTGCTTCACAGAATATACTATATTGGTGCACAAATGGAACAGAAGTCTTAACAGAGTGCACCATCTGAAAGAAAATTGACATCAGCAGTTATAGTTTGAATGCAACAGCAATTTCAGGTCTCGAGAATGTACTGCACTGCAAGACGTTTATCAATTTCCTTTTGGCCTTTACAGAAGTAGTGAGTCCATATCAGAGCAGAGCAGCTGCAGAAACTAACATTATCAATCTTATCTGCCAAAGCATACATCCTTCTGGCTGATTGCACCATGATAACTGATGATAATTGACATGTGCTGTACATTCACTGAGAGAACAAAGTTCCTTTATTTTCTACTCTACAAATGTGTTTTAGCCATTCTCTGGACTCAATTCCGAGATCCTTCCAACATCTCCTCCACCCTCCTTCAAAGAACAGCTCAAAACACCTTTCTTTGACTATGCTTTTGGTCATTTCCCCCTCCACCCCCTCAGCTATAGTCCCCAGCCAGAATTGTCAAGTGCTTTGTGACATCCTCCAAAACACTATATAAATTTAAATTGCATTACACGATTCAATAACAGCTTTTAAGAGAGAAGTAGATGGGTATTTGGGGAGGACAGGATTGCAGGGCTATGGAGAGAAAGCGGGGCAGCGGGATTGAGTTTCATTGCTCTTTTCGGAGCTGGCGCAGACACGATGGGCCGAATGGCCTTTCTGTGCTGTATGATTCTATGATATTGTTAAGTTACATTATCTCTTACTTATAGTAAAAGCTAAACGTATTGTTGCAAAATTTAATAAAACAAGACTTGTCATTAGATGTGCAAAGTTGACATTTTAATGTAAAATTTCTTTTTACAAACAGCTTGCATTACATGTGAAATGGGGGCATTGTGGCTCAAATGTTCTGCTCTTGTATTTTCTTTAAATCAGCAAAAGCACTCCTGCAGCACTTCCAGTTTCAATGGTCCAAACTAGATGGTAGACAAGATTTACCACGTTAGTTCAAGAAATTAGAAAGTCATTCACAACTCCTAAGAGAATCTTACAAGTTCCAGTTATACTTTTAATTCCATCCATTCCTTTTGTCATCCGTAGTGTTGAATACCATTTCATATCCGTGCAAAACAGTTCAAAGTGCTGGCTTCAACTGTGTCCATTAGGCACACGTGGGGAAGAGATACAACAAATTAGCTATATGAAGACTTCTAAGTATTGAGGCAAAGACCTGTTTACCTGGCACACATACCAAGATTGCAGGAAGGATAAAGACATTCAAAAACGGGCAATGATACAGGTTTGAACAAAAGTTACCTTTGCAAACAAGACAATACTGTTTTACAATGGAATGAAATACATTTTACGTTACCAATAATTCAATAATATCTGAAGCTGCTGGCAAATGAAAAAAACATTTCAGAATTTAATACAATAAATATTAGTATAATCACCCAAGAAGCAACAGTAATGATACCTGTCAACCTGTCAGTTTTAATATTTTGGAAATATGAAATTTGAGTTAGCTTTTACTAATGACTTTTGCATCATCAACAAGTCATTTCTGTTGTGCTGATAAAGAAAGGTATTATAAGATTTTTCTTTGGGAACTCTATGTATTGTTAAAATACCAACCACTGTTGAAATGACTTGCATTAGAGCATTGCGCTAATCATAAATCATCAATTTCTTTTTTTAATCAATTTAAGAGTTAGAATGGGTGCTTTTCTGCGAAAATGCTCTTTTGGTTTGCCAGTTACATTGAAAGCTTGTTGATCACATGTTGCATTGAATACATATTACAAAAATCCATCAATAAAATGCAATGATCAAAATTCTAATTGATTTCCATAAATATCTTCTCCAGTGGACAGCATCTTCACTTTTTATGATTGAAACATCCTTTGGCTGTAAAACCAGGTATTTCTAACAGTAAATTTTATCTTTATGTTTGAATGCAGACTTGAGTACAGAATGCTGACAGTCTCACGAGTACCCTCCTAACTGTGCAGCCAGGAATATAATGAATCACAGCAAGACTGGCAGCAATCTTCATACCACTGTGTTTAAACACTGATCAAATGATTAACTAAGAATAACTTTCACTACATTCCGGACTAAATATTAAAGCAGTACATGTGTTGCACAATTTTAAACAGATTTAGGCAAACCTCAGAGAAAGCATTTGTAAAGCAAATCAATCCTTCACCTTAAAATGCACAAGTACTTTAATTAATTCCAGAAATCCTTGTTGTTGAAGAGTGATAATGCAACAGTGCAATTGAAAGTGTTTAGCTAATTTTCAAAAGTCAGGGATTAGTGCAGCTTTGGCCCAAAATTTCAATTCTCCATATCCAAAGTTCATTTTCTAACAGCATCCTGGACTGGAAGATATTAGCATTCTGTATGTCACCAGAGACTAGAATATATACTTTGTATACCAGTCAGATGATAGTTGTGTTCCTTAGCTTTATAGTGATTGTTTTGCCAATAATACATCATCTCCCTACTAATTTACTAGGAAATAAAACAAAAATGTAAAGGCAGCTTAGTAAAGCTAGTGTTCTACTTAAAGTGATAAAAATCTCCAAAAATTAGATTTTTTTTAAAAATTGAGTCAAAAAAGCCCAGTATTTGGCACCCACTTCAACTGACCTATGTGATAAATACTTGCATCGTTCGCAAATAACAAATTTGAATATGTATTTTAGGCGGGGAATCTCAGTTAACCTTACAGATATGAATTAAGTACTGTAATCTGAAATTAAAAAATAATATACAGAATAAGTCTATTGCTATAGGTGCTTGTCTTATACATGGGTACAAATGAAATGAGCTTTGGTCAACTTCAACATAGAAAATCTGAAAAGAATTGCTGCAGACATACATTGATGAATACTCTTGTCTCAACTTTTAAATAAGGTGACTGTTCAAAACTATTCTAAAATCCTGAAAAAAAAACTGGTAACTACAAGGAATATGTGAATACTTAAACTGGGAGATGTTGAGGTCACTAAATGCTAAATACATTTATGAGGTATATACAGGAATCAAACAATCTCATTGCTAAACACTGTCCACTATCGATAGCTGTGAAGTTAAGACAGTTTTAAAAAAAATCCACTTGGAAATAAAAGAATCAAAAGGTTTTCCAAAAAGGCCAAAGCTAAACTATTGCAGGCAGTGTACTAAAATAACTGGCAAATTAACATCCACTCCTCATAATTGAGGGAGACAAGTCATCCAACTGTTATTAATGGAATGAACCATGTATATTCCAAAAGAATCTATGATAAAAGACTAAGAAAGCTGGAAGAGTTTGAATTATGAGATGATTCAAATCTATAATCCTTATTGCATCTCACCTGCAATAAGGATTACTGAAAATAATGACTGGTACTGTAAATATTCATGTACTCTCATCTTCGCTGTCACTTCTGCTACAAAATGTTAGACAAAGTTCGTCTCCGAGAATAAAAGGAGCAAGCTTCTTGGTTTACAGCATGACCGAAGAGAACCAAAATATGGAGTGAAGCTGGAGACAAAAAAATTTATTAAAGATTCAACCAAACAATTTGGCAAACTTTCCAACACTCATATTTGTAAACATAATGCTTCCCTTTTCAATTGGCAGCACTTTGAAAAGACAAACAAAATTCACATAGATGAAATGGATTCTTAATATTTATCCCAAAACCTTGCATTGTCCAACCCAATAACTTAATGTTCCCACATGATAAATTAACTGCCATTTCGCGAGGCAATATGTCAACTGAAATGCAATGCACTGGTTTTAAGAACAGAGAAACTACATCAATTCAAATGATTTTTGTGCTGTTTGATGGTCACAGTATTTTAATTAAGTACATCAGTTTTCAGTTATATTCCTGGCACCCAGGAGAAACAAATCTTAAATAAACTATTACATGCAGGTGACTGCTTCTTTGTATATAATTTTTTTTTGAAAAATACTTTAGTATACAAATAGGTCTCCTACTTGAAGGTTAGTTTCTTAATTTCCCCAAAACTATAGATTCTTTCAAATTTTGTATTATAGTAACTTTTTTCATGTTAATAAAGCTGATAAATTACTTGAACTGGAAAGGCTTTTTTCCACAGAGGAAGTAGTATGTTTATAGGAAAATTCCTATAATAACACTCATCAGTTTTGTCCTGAGCATTTTGGCCTACAAGGTAGTAGTTTCCTCTTTTCCCCCTCAAGATGCACACACACACCCTTACACATACACACTCTCTTGCACATATCGAGTAGGCCACAGTTAGCTTCCCAGTGGTATGGGACAGAAGGAAGCTATGTGTAGCTGAAAGTCACTACACCAAGTGTACACAAGCAAACACCTTAAGGCAACATTAGCATAGGGGGCTGACTTTGCTGTTTGCATTTTTAGGCTATGGTTTCAAAATTGCAGCACAGTGTAAATAGATAGGCAGTTCATAGTGCTTCTTCATACATTTCATTCTTTGAACCCTCTAACATTCCTATGAACATTTTTTTAAAAACTATTTTGTGCAAATTACCTTAGAAACTTTCTACCACTTAAGGCAAAGTGTTTAAATTAATAGGAAAATTTAGAAAGTACCACATACCTTTGTTTACCCCAACTGTTAAGAGTTTATTAGTGCCATCATTTGTTAAGACAAATATAGAAGTCAAATCAGAAACCATAGGAAACTTCAGGTACTCTGAACCCTCTAACTAACATCTGCTTTAACAGCTGATCTGCTCAATGTGATCAGTGTGGATAAACAAAAATGTAATGGTAGAAGATTGGAAAGAAAGAGGGTTCTAAAGCCTTGATTTACAAAAGAAACTAGGGGGTGAAAGCATATATGTTTCAGGGTAGTAACAGAACTTAAATCATCTAACCATGAAACTGCTGAAAAACTTTTACAAGTCTCAGACATCAATCCAAGAGTAACATTTTTGAAATTCAAAATAAATTAGCTTTTCGTTATTACACATCTCCTTCTGGTCACAGAGGAATATTGCAAATTGTCCAATGAGTTCTAATGCCATGATTGTTGCCGCTGCCGATCATAATCTGCTATTAGTCTCTTAATGTGAGCCAGTTTCTTGTGCAGGTATTCACACCTACGTTTCTCTTCATGATAGTTGGGGCTGTTCTGTAGATACAAAAATGAAAAGAATGTGAGTTTTACACAAAACATTAATGCGAGCATTAGTTTGAAAAGAACCTTTCTTTCTTAAAGCAGAAGTGTTGCAGGGGATCGTGTGGCTGAGAAGGTTGGGTCTGGTCATCATCTTTTTCCCCTCCAAGGTTGGGATAGCTGATTAATGCATAAAGAATGGAAATGGGGGAGTGGAGGAATGCCTGAAAGTTGTGGATTAGTCAGTTAGGGTTACCCAGTTCCAAGTACACATTGAACATAATCCTAGCATTGAGCTGCAATTCTTGCTCACAGAAATGTGAATGTGTTCTTACTTTTATATCTATAGTTATTATTGATGTGTGAAATAGGCTTGCAAGAAGTATTTGAGGTGGGATCCATGTCCTTTATTTCTCCTCTATTAAAACAAAGAATGCCAATGGGATACAATCAAGAATGAGAAGCAATGATACACATGGAACAAAATGTGCATTTTTGTGTATGTCAATCTTATTTAACACTTAAAATTATTTGTTCAGTCCAAATGTTGATAACTCCACAGAAACCACTATATTGCAATGACAGGCAGTGATTATTTTATTCCAAAATATCTTATGCATCTTATCAGGACAGTTGAAAATATCCAGTAAATTAAAATTCCAAGAGGAATTTTAATTTCAAACTGATAAAAATGAACAAAAAGGACTCAAGATGTGGACTACTTGAAAAATATGGTTACCAACCTTTGTAATTTTCCAGTACTCTTGCAAAACTTCCGCATCAACAATCTGTAAATAAGTAGAGGTCCTGTTACAGGAGCTATCTTATGCGGCTTGCACTCTCTCTTTCAAAGCAATGCTATCTCAAGCTTCTTAACATGGAAGCCAAAATCGTGCATCACTGAGCTGGTCAATTTTAATCTACCTCCGTACAAGTAGCAATATGCAAACTCTGCCATTGTTGTTGTTCGCTGACCTGATGTCAGCCTCAAATTTAGAAGCAACTTTGTTGCCAGAAAATAAATTTACCATCAGTTCCTGGGATGAGCCTTTTTTTCTGGTCATCCGAGGGTCCGACGCTTGCATCACCGTGCTTAAGAGTATCCAAACCAAACTGAGAATTCCATGTATCTCACCTATATATGTAACTTCCAGAGATAGATTGTTGGAATAGTGTGCACTGTCTCACTGGAGGGAAACATCCTACTAACCTAATTTCGGAAAAGTATTAGGCGCAGGTTGGCAAGAATCAAGGCTTGGGGACCCCAGAGTGTGCGTTAAGGTATTGCTGGAGTCTAATGAACCTTTTCCTCAGCTGCATACGCAAAACTTTCAAAACATCACGTTAAATAACTTTTGCTGGATTTCTGGTTGCCAGGGCAGAGTACACTAAGATATTATGTTAGCAATGTGGTTTAGATCTTGCTGACCCTTCCATGGAGATTGGGGTAAGATCTGTGGTCAGGAAACGTTGTGAATTGTTACTGAAAAAAATGTACACGAGCATTTACTGTGGCTGGAATTCTCCATCACTAGGTAAACAAGGCAAATTCCACATAACAGCTCAGGCCTCAACATTTTGAGCTGAACCATTTCTCAAATAGAAGAGAAGCTATATAAAACAATAATGTTAATCTGGGTTCTATAGAAACAATCCTGGAATACAAAAAGGGCAGTTTCTAAATCAGTGGAATGAAGAAATGGCACTGGAGAACCATTTTTCAGGAAGCTGTTCTCCAAAATAAATAAATCATTAATGTTTCATTCTTTAACATAATAGAAAATCTTCCAAACTACAATGGACAGATTTTCTTTACAGGTTCAAAGACCTTCTTGACTTGCAAATCAATGTACATAGAAATAGATGTACACACAATTCAGTAATGAATCAAAAGAAATGCTGAATGTCAGCCTTTTCATCTTACTATGCAATTCATAATTTACATGGGATTAAGAATTAAAAACAAATAAACTAAAAATAAACAAAAGAGAACGTAATTTCATGAAGCATTAGAAAATGTTAGTGGCCCATCATGATTTTTTTCTATAAAAAGGTTTTTTTTTTACTTGCCTGGGTCATTTACAGCAACATACAGCAACAATGAGGTAGATAATCAAAAAATACAAATCGGAAGCTGGAAGCAGTTTTAATGAATCACCACTGAAGTCACATCATTCCCATTTTACTACAGATTACAACAACTGGGATTTATATAGCGCCCTCCACGCCGGATGGCGTCTCAGAGCACTTTACTGTAACGGATCCCGGGACCGAGCCAGGGGGAGGGGGAGGAAGGTGACCAAAGGCGCGGTCAAAAATTAAGGTCTTCAGCAGAGACCTGAAGATGGGAAGGGAGGGAGCGAGACGAAGGGAGTGAGGAAGGCAGTTCTAGGGCCTCGCGGCATAGTGGCAGAAGCCACGGCCGCCGAGGGTGGAGCGGAGGTCTCGGGGGACGAGGAGGGGGCCAGACCCGAAGGAACGAAGGCAACGGGTACTGTTTGGAGGAGAGAGGTCAGAGAGGTAGGGGGGTGCAGAGGAGTGCAGGGACTTGAATACAAGGGTGAGGAACTTGAAATCGATCCTCTCTGGGATAGGCAGCCAGTGCAGTCTGGCAAGGACTGGGGTGATCGGGGAGCGGAGTTTCGTGCGGGTGCGAATGCGGGCGGCAGAGTATTGAATGATTTGGATTTTATGGATGGTAGTGAATGGGAAACTGGCGAGGTGGGCGTTGGAGTAGTCCAGCTGAGAGGTGACAAAGGCATGGACCAGGGTTTCAGTGGCTTTTGGGGAGAGGTATTGGCGGAGACGGGCAATGCGTCGGAGGTGAAAGAAAGCGGTGCTGGTGAGGGACCGGATCTGGGGGAGGAAGGATAATTGGGGGTCGAACCTGACGCTTAGGTTGCGTACGGGATTACAATATTCCTTAAAGCTGGAGGCTATCATGTTTTCAATTTGAGCTATTTAAAATGTTTAATACTTTAGAGAAGCTGACAGTCGAACTATCTTAAGTAACTGGGATATGTAAACTTTTTTTTAAAAAAGGAGTGAAGTCATGAAGTGGGGTGAAGGTGAAGGAGCTCTCATTGAAAGTTTTAATTAATTTCCCTGGCCTATCCTGTTTCTATAACTGTTAATACAAGAGGAACAAACTAAGCCCCAAGTAGCATTGAGACAGTGTAGAACATGTGTAGAAATGTTACGTTTTATTGTAATGCACTTTAAAGTCGGTCATTCTGTTTGCAAATACAGATATTCATAGTTTGTCTCCATTTGCATCCTTTTGCTTTATGGCAGTACACGTTTTCAAGGGCAGTACACTAGAATACTAATACTGACTAGACCATAAAGAAATTATATTTGCGCAGATAAATCCCTGCATTTTATGTTGCAGGATAGTTCAGAACTGTTTTATATTATTATGTTTTTATATTATCCTGCAAATGCTGGTCCTTGCATGTTGTGAGGCCAAATCCAAACCATTGACAACTTGTAGTTCTCTCAGGCAGGAGAATCTCAACTGATCCAAAGAAGTTCCAGTGGTGACAAAACTGCATTACTACCTTGTCCGTGGCAAGAAAGACACAACAGCCAATATGCCACACTGGTGGCAGTAAGTCATTTATTCTGGTAGCCTCAATGTTGCTGCCTCTGGACATCTGACATTTGCATCAACTTGCATCAATCTTCAAACAAACTGGTTTCAGTTGCGTCATCATAGAAGACACTATGAGGTACGTAATACTTAGTGAGTTAGCATAAATCTGAATATTTTGTCTCAAGGGGGAGGAAGGCTGGCAACACCAAGGGAGCAGAAATGGAATTAAAATCTAATAGGGCAAGGGTCCAAAACTACACAAATGGTAAGACTTGAATAGTTGAACTACCTCCTCCTATTTGTATGTGTATATTGCCAAATAAAATAGGCTCGCAAAATACCTGTACCACCATGTAAATCCTGAGCTCATAATACCCAATATCTAATACAGAGAGGTGCCATTATTATTCTTTTTGTTAAAGTTAAAACTAGTCAGTAGTCTTTTGACTGAAACTTGAAGGAGTAGAGGTGATTCTGCCAGTACCTTATATTCCTCTGAGTTAGGAGAAAGACGCTTCCGCTCTGCATCCAGTTGCAAAAATCGCTTGGTTATACTCTCTAACCTAGCATGCAGGTTGCGGTATTCACCATACTCTGCATTAAAGTCATCTTTGAAGCTTTGTCGCTGCTCTTGTGACATAATGGCTGTGTATTTGCTGTTGGAACACAAAATAGTGTGAAACTAGATAGTTGTGTGGGGAGAAAACAATAGTATTACATGCAGTACTTGAAATAAATCTTTTGTTCTCGCTTAATTACAGTCATGCACACTGAGGATATACTAAACATTTCATATGCTAGAGAGTTGGACCATCATTATATACCATCATGAAATGTTTGGTTCTGCAACTTATGCATGTGTTGACGGAGACATCATAACAAATCTGTGGGTAAATGGTGCTCTGCCCCCAAACTGTCATACCTCGACTTTTCCACCACTTTCCATAATCCAGAGGCACAAATAAATGTGCTATAAATCAATGTCATTCCACCAGTGCGAGTCTAGAGATGGATTTTTATATACTTAATGCCTATTACAACATAGAAATAACAATCTAGTACACCCCTTATAAAGGCTTAGTTATAAGACATTACCCATAGTAACTTAAGCAGGTAAGTAAATTAATAATGTTCATTTCCAAGTTAACATAAAATTCTTGTTGCCTGCCAGATGGCTTAGCAGTTAAAGACATTAAAGCAAACAGAACAGATTTCAAGGTTGAATTCTTGTGCTGAGTTAGCTGATCTCAGCTCGGGTGGAGGTAGTAATAATGAATTTGTGTAGCAGTGTTACAAACAGCCTCAGTCTTCAAGAAGTGTGTGGGTTGTTGGGGGGGGGGGGGGGGGGGAAGAGGCGGAGTGGGGAGGGGGGGGGGGGCGGAGAGAATCAGCCAGGTTTTATGTTTCTGATTTCAGTAATTTCTGCTGGAAAGTGTATCAAACTTTGGATGAGGATCGGATTGTGTTCAACTATGAGGTGCCCTGTGGGTGAAATGATCTTCGGAACTTATGGTCAAGTTTCACGCAAGAATATTAGTTGGGGTACTAGATTAGCACACCTGATGCAAACAAAAGTGCCTCGCAAGGGTGGGGGAAGGGAAGGAGGGTGAGGGAGGAAATTGCAGGAGAAAATGACACTTAAAATTTTAAAAATAGTTATATAGTTGTTTCAAAATACAAATTAGATATTGTTAGTTATATCCAACCTCCACATAAAGATTATTTTCCCATTCCCCCAGCCTAATTCCTGCAGTGGAGGCCTGCACACAGCACAAGAATTCAAATGTGCAATGTGCAACAAGTGGCCAAGTAGTGGCAGAAATTCAATTGAGCAGTTTGGATAATGTCAACTGTGAATGTGCAGCTCAAGCAATTTACAATTAGAATCCGGAGATTAAATAATAATAATCCTTATATTTTATATAGCGCCTTTCACGTCGTCGAGACGCCTCAAAGCACTTCAGGGGACACTGTAGAGTGGATTCACTTACATATTTTCTGAGTGAAAATAAATGCCTTGCTATTGTATATACCAACTTTCTAGTAGAATATAGGAAACCTTATACTGTATAGCTGTTTGTACGACACTGCAATGTTAGGGTAATCCAAACAGAAACCAAACAATATGTAACAAATAATGCAATCTTTCCCCAACCCCACAAGTTGGCGGCTGGATTTCAACAGATCTCACAAACTACAGTACATTAATGAATATAGTACATCAATGAATAGACAAGTGACAATGTTTTCACACTAATTTTTAAGGATACTTCAAAAAAGACTAGGAATTTAAATTCTGGTTGGCATTGTATGTAGTACTTTTGACAATGTTGGTCACTGATGGGAGTTCCCCATTATGATTGTACATCTCCAAAGTTGCATGTAATGTTGATTGGAATTTCAGTCCACTCGTTTTAAAAACATTTCAGACACAAAAGATGACTGTTCTAATAGGTGACTAAAATGAAGATCATAATAAAATTCTATCTTTATAATTGCTTTCAATAATTAACAGATTTCTCTTTTACTATTTGGATAAAAACACTGGAACAAATCTAGTAACTGTTGCTAGTTTAAATAATTCAGATTCGTTTTGGAGGAATGCTCACAATAAACAACAACTTGCACTTATAAAGCGCCCTCCGTGCAGGGTAGCGTCTCAGAGCACTTAACAGTAGTGGTGGGGGTGGTGGGGGCAGGTGCAGTAAGCACGGTCGAAAAGGAAGGTTTTCAGATGGGACATGAAAAGGCGGAGGGGGCAAGGCGGAGGGATTGAGGGAGAGTGTTTCAGAGTTTTGGGTCGTAGTGGCTAAAAACCCGATCTCCGATGGTGGGACGGAGGGTGCGAGGAACGAGAAGCAGGCCAGTGCCAGTCGAGCGGAGGCACCGGGTGGTGGATTGGGGAGTGAGGAGGTCTGAGAGGTAGGGAGGTGCAGGAAGTGAATGGATTTGAACATGAAAATACAATCAGTATGCTTACTTACATCAAGTAATCAGGCTTTTTGGTTGGTATTGTAGGATTGCTGGAACCAGTGCACTTCCCATTCATTCCTGCAAGAGAATAAAGGCTTTCTGTATTTCTGTTGAAATATTGCAGAGCACAACAGAAGGCACAGCAATAACAGAGAACTTTTGACCTTTGCCATACTACAGCTAAAACTTGTGGGAAGATTTTAATGCTTTAGCTTCAATATTACATTCCTCAGTAGAAATAATGCAGTAGTTTTCGACTCTACAGATTACTAACAGCAGCAGCCATATGGTCAGCTCAATCACTACCATTAACAAGCATTCAGCCCGTAACGGCAATAACCGAATTATCTACACAATAGAGGTCAAAGCATTAAGATCTCCACCCAGGGCCAGTCTCCTGCCGTTTTCAAATCCTCTAGACAAGGGACCATTCAAAAATTAATTTATTTAAAGTGGCAGATGTGGCCATAATGTTGAAGAATGCAATTTAAGGATTTTCCCACACTATTTTGTGGGAATTAGAAAGAATGACAAGAGTTATTACTAAACTAATAGTTTAGAAAATGTGGACCTCAATTGTTACTGAATTCTGCTCTATGGAGGTAAAATCAAAAAGACTTCACTTGATTTAGCAACAACTGACAGCAAAACAAACAAGTTCTTTACTTTTCTGAACCTTAGGAACTATATGCTGGTATACTCTTCAGTAAACAAACTACTTTCCACTCAACCTAGAAAGTTGTAATAAAAGTAAAATTTTAGGGAGGAAAATGATTAAGATGTTATTCTGATTATTGAGCTAGTTAAGTTAGCCACTTAGCAGCAATACGCTGATTGACCAAAGTTTCATGCTTTTTTAATAATAATCCTTACATTTGATATAGCGCCTTATCACGTCTTCAAGACGCCTCACAGCGCTTCACGGAATATACTGTAAAATGAATTCACTGTATATTTTGTGGGCGAAACACGGCAGCTAATTGCGCACAGCAGTGTCCCACAAACAGTCGTGGATTGAAGTGACCAATTTATTATTATTTTTTGAAGGAATTATTACCCTGGAAAAGCAATCCGTCAATCAAGTAACAACCGGGTTCCCAATTACTGCCAGTGGTGTGGGGAGTAAGAAAACTTGCCCAACATTTCGCCCTGCTGGAAATCGAACCCAGATCTCTCGCTTGCAAGGTGAGTGCTCTAACCACTGAGCTACAAGACTTTTTATATATAAACAGTACAGTACTTTCACAAAATTATTTTAAAAAATGTAAAATTTAGAGAAATTAAACATTTGAAGTTAATGAGGGATGTAACACTAGTCAGTCCAACTGTAATCAAAGTACAGTATTTAGGATTCATAAAATTTGCACATACAGAAAAAGAATGTTTACCATGAAAGCGTTCAGAGTTTGAAAGAATGAGGCAAATTATCTGCTTTAAATGGACTGTCCACAATTCTTTCAAAATATTTCTCCACAAGTCACAGGCATTCCAAAAGAGGCAATCATTGGGCACTAAGCTTGTTTTTATTTTTAAAAAGGTGATTAGATGGTTAAAATTTGTATACTCAAAACAATCTAGTATCAAAGTCCACTCTATTTACATTGACTCCTTGTAAACTCAAAACAAGGTAAATAAGTGTCTTGGAGCCAGGATTAATTTCTAATCACTGGAATTGGTTTTTAAAACATGCAGAAAAAAAGTCCAGTACACCCTTATGACCCTAACAGCTTCTAGTGTTGTAGTTGGCTTCATGAAAAGCAGTTCCAAGCGTGTCCAAAGTCTCCCACTAATCACTGACTGAATGCATCATTGTTAGAGAACCACAGTACACCACTGCAGGAGTGTTTTGCGGTAGACTCTTCAGAATCAGCAGGGTAGCAGTCTGTGGAGGAGTCACGGGTGCTTAATCGAGTTGCAATACCCAACTTGGAGCAAATGGTTTGCCTCCCCCAAAACGGGAAGTGCAAGAGCTGATTGATACTTTGAATGCAGCTGTTAGAGTTCAAAATTATAAATGTATCACTCGTCAACTAGAAATTTCAACTAATGTGATGAAATTAACCACAAATATAAAAAGCAGAATGAGGTTATGTAAATATCCTCCCATTTCATAGAATATTACAGCACAGAAGGAGACAATGTGCCTGTGCCTGTGCTGGCTCTTTGGAAGATCTACCAATCAGTCCCACTTCCCCACTCTTTCCCCATATCCTTGTAAATTTTTCCTCTTCAAGTAACCTCTTCGTGGAGTCCTGTAGCTCAGTGGTTAGAGCATTCGCTTTGCAAGTGAGAGACCTGAGTTCAATTCCAGGCAGGGCGAAACCTTGGGCAAGTTTCCTTACTCCACGTACCTAATAATCATCCCTCCAAAAAAACAAAACAATAATAAATTGGTCATTTTCAATCTATGACTGTTTGTGGGACATTGCTGTGCGCAATTGGCTGCTGCGTTCGCCCACAAATATACAGTCAATTCACTTTACAGTGTGTTCTGTGAAGCGCTTTGGGACGTCCTCCCGACGTGAAAAGCGCTATATCAAATGCAAGGATTATTATTATTTTTATTATTATAACTATCCAATTCCCTTTTGAAAGTTGTTATTGTATCTGTTTCCACCACCCTTTCAGGCAGTGCATTCCAGACCGTAACAACTCTCTGTGTAAAAAAAATTCTCGTCTTCTCCCCTCTGGTTCTTTTGCCAATTATCTTGAATCTATGTCCCCTGGTTATCGACTCAGCTGCCAGTGGAAACAGTTTCTCCCCATCTACTCTATCAAAACCCCTCATAATTTTGAACACCTCTATTAAATCTCTCTTTAAGGAGAACAATCTCAGCCTCTCTAGTCTTTCCACATAACTAAAGCCCCTCATCCCTGGTACCATTCTGGTAAATCTTCTGTGCACCCTCACCGAGGCCTTCATATCATTCCTAAAATTTGTTTTACTTAAAATAAATTATGTTTATGGTCAGAATGCTAGTTGTTGCATGGAGCATTACCCATTTAAGATACCAAAATCAGATACTTGCAATCCTGCTAATATGCTCATAGTACAGTTCAACAATTGAGCCAGACTGACATTAATCTGGGACATAGTGAAAGTGCTGGGATCATATAATCTGGCCAATTTTCAAATGTTCTCAAAGTCAAGATGTTTAAACCCGTTCTGTGATAATGACTCATTGCACATAGCTCACATGCACAAGGCTCTGGAAGTGATGCAAATGATGCCCTCATGATCTGGAAGTGGGACCAGTGGCAATTTGTTTGTGAACCAACACATTAATTTTTTGGATCTGAAATCCCACGCTACAACAAGATTGGCCATTATATACAACAACTTGCATAGTGCCCTTCGTCCTTCGTGCGGGTAGCACATTGGAGTGCTTAATATAGGATAAAAATGAAAATTTCTCCTTTTCTTCTCCCTCTCCAAATAAATAACAATTCACAAAGTAATGCACAAATTACTAAAAGGAGCAAAATGTTGCCCTGAACCATTTTCTTGCTATGGATCTGCAGCACTAAAATTAGTAGAATACTTGCCACTATCTAGCATTACATTTCAAATGTTGATTAAATAACATCACTAAGAGGCAACTCTGATTGTTGTGCATGATGTCTCATACCTCTCAACTGTTTACTCAGTCAGCGTATGGAAGACTGACTTGTTAACTGCATCCATTTGTCACTACATAACAATTCACATTTATCAGTTAATGAAAAAGCAAATTTGTTTGAGAGATCAGGGGGTAAAGTAGTTTTTAAGACTCCTTTTCAACAAATCAAAATCCCATACTGGAAACAGCATATCCAAGAAATGAAACCTATTTACAGCCCTGTCTAAGCTTTGGGGCCTCCAGTTCTGGGATCCCCAGCCGTGGCTCTTGGCAACCTGTGTGTAATAGTTTCTGGGATTAGATCAACAGTGTGCATCCATCCAGGGAGAGAGTCCACGCTTAATTCCAGCAAAAGGGCAAATATGTGGAACTCAGTCTGATTTGGATACTCTTAAGCATGGTGATAGAGTTCTATGTATGAGTGTGTGTATGTGTCGCCATGTTCACAACCGTCATGAACAGTTTTTATAAAAACATGTAGGAATACTTTAAAAAAACAGGATAAGAGAGAAAAACAAGCCATTTGTTCTAGTTGTAAAAAACAGCTTTTAACTAATTGAGGACTTTCCCCCCTTGAGCCAAGTCTTTCCCACTTGTGCAACAGATTTTTTTCTATTTCTGCATTCTGTGTTGTATCCCTAAACCATGCCTGCAATTTAATATTGTCCACAATTTTTGCATAACACTGTAAAACACCTTTCAATTCATTACAACAAATTCTAAAGCTTGACTATCCTCAGGCCTGGAATGCCTCTACATTCATCACATACCCGAGTCAAGAGGGGGAGCATCACCATTGACTTTCTTTAATTTCTTTTGTTCCTCAGTTTCAGTTCTGCATTCTCTGCTGTTCTCCTCTTCATCCCATTCCTTGTTCTTTTTCTCCTTTTCCCTTTCCTTATCTTTGTGTTTTTTGGCTTTCTTTTTTGATTTTCCATGAGAAGAAAAATCTTTGCTGTGAGCTTTTGAGCAATCCAACTGGCGTGGTGGGCTTTCCATTGTAGTCCTAGAGGTAAGCTTTTCTTGCTGGTCCTCATAACCCCTGCCAGTTTGACCATTAGCATCAACTGGCAAATCTTGAGTTCCCCTTCCTTCAGGTGTGCATGGGGAATTGGAGTTAGAATTCACAGTGTGAGCAATAGAAACTGAAAGTGGCATAGGAGATGGTGGAGGAGGGGGAGGAGGGGTGGCAGGAGCGGCAGCAGCAGCAACAGTCTTCTCACTGGAGGGATTTAAATGACCATTAAGGGTTGGTTGCACACGATTGGTAAGGTGTGATATTCTGAGTTTCTTGCTTGTCAAAGGATCAATGAAATCTGAAGGCAGAGAACGCTTCTGCAAAAGAAAAAAATGTGAATGTTAAGGTTCTGATGAAAAAGCTTGCAAAAATTCACCACTGTAGCCATCTTCTCAGAGATCAGTCCAAGTTATAAACCTCAAACATTTTGACCTGATTTTTGGAAAATTAGATTTAGGATGGCCTTATATGCAGAATTTATATATTTTTTACTTCTAGATAAATTCTACATAAATAAGACAGATGCAAGAAATTAAGTTTAAACCAAAGATGATTTGAGAAGGGTCTTAGCAAAACTATTTTTTCAATGGTACAAAAACTGAACAGCACATCGAGCCTCCTGATTAAATAGGGTAACTGTATAAGGTGTTGCATGATTAAAGGTCACAAAGCTTCTTAAACAGAAACTTCAGCAATATAAGCATGTGGAAGATGCCGAATGAGGAAGAATACAGTTGTTGAACATTTGGGATGAAAATAAAGCCCCTTTTCACCTCTGTGATTTGGTCAACTTTAAATCCATATTAATGGGTTGAATGTCAACTCTAATGGGTAAAAGGTTCCCACGAGAACGGGTACACTCTCAACCCAGTTTCCAACTGTGTATTAAGGCACTAATTTGTACCATCTTGATAATCTCGCACAAGAGGCCACAAAGAAGATTGATGAGTGAAATGAAAACATCTAAACCCTGGTATCAGGAGCTGCTTTTCAAAAGTCAAGTGAACTGTGTTGTAATACGCAATAGTTACACACAACTTATTCGACACAAAAAGGTCACTGTTGGGAGCACCCTGCTCTGGCCATTCATGGGTGTGGATCAACTCAAAAGTAAATCTAAAAGATTTATGAAAGCCACCTACATCATGTGTACTATGTTTTGTGCATAACTGCTGTACCATTATTGCTACATAGAACATATTACAGATAAGTCTGACTTTTTGAAACTATACCCTGTGTGAAGATGGTTCTTTCAGCATGGTGAAAAAATGCAATGCTCATTTTTACCTTTGATAACAGATCTAAAATTTAATTTTGCACCTTTCATGTCAGGAGAACATCTCAAAACACTTCACAGGAATACTGTAAAGTGTAGTGACTGTATTTGTAGATGAATGTACCTGAGATGGAGATGCAGACGCCTTTTCTTTAGGTGAGCTGGATGGTAAGGATTCTACTTGACTGTTGTTGGAATTCTGAGATAACTTCCTGGTTTAGAAAATTAAAAAAAGTATTATACAAAAAAAATCTTAACAGCATACTTATAGGCATTGAGTTAATTACATCTATGAACAGGCTGTATTAATAGCTTGCCAGGAACAAATTAGTGTAATATGCTTTGGGGTACAATATGTTCTCATAGGCAATGTAGTAACTAATAAAAATGATTAACAGCAGGTGCTAAGTGTTTTATAAATTTAAAGAAATACTAGAAGTCTGCAATGATATTCTTACTTCAATATAGATGCGCGTTTATAAAAAAATGTAGTAGTTGAATGCATCTTCTTAAAATAAGTTTTACTGAGTTAACTGGCTTCCCAATCAGATGGAAATCCTCATTTCTTATATAGGCCAAAGTTCTCTTCGCCAACTGCACTGTCTGTGATAACCTGCTGATTTATAATTAAGTCATTCAAACTGAATTTAAACATGGTTTAAACTGGGTTTCGGTGGCTTTTGGGGTGAAGAATTGGGGGAGACGAAAGAAAGAGGTGCTGGTGAGGGACCAGATGTGGGGGAAGAAGGATAATTGAGGGTCGAACCTGACGTCTAGGTTGCGTACAGGTTCGAAGAGATTTAGGGGGACGCTGGGTGGGTGGGTGGAGGTGAGAACGGTGCAATTTAAGACTTTGACGAGCGCCAAAGTATGGCTTCTGTCTTGTCAACATTTAGCTGAAGGAAATGCGCGCTCATCTAGCTCCTGAGGTCTGACAGGCAGGTTGACAGAACATCAGGGGACTCAGGGGGTCGCAAAGTGAGGTGGAAAAATAGAGTTGGGTGTCGTCCTCATACATGTGGAAGTGTACCCCATGTCTGCGGATGACATCCCCAAGAGGGAGCATATAGATTAGGAGGAGGAGGGGGCTAAGGATGGATCCTTGGGGTACCCCGCAGGTAACCAGGTGAGAGCGAGAGGAAAAGCCGTTTGTGCAGATGTACTGCTGGTGGTTTGTGAGGTAGGACTCGAATCAGGCGAGTGCGGCCCACTGAGGTGGATGACTGAGGAAAGGCGGTGGAGGAGGATGGCGTGATCGAATGTGTCAAAAGTGGCGGAGAGGTCCAGGAGGACAAGGAGGCAGAGGCAGCCCTGGTCACAGAGAAAGAGGATGTTGTTTGAGACTTTCACAAGCGCAGTCTCTGTACTGTGGGCAGGGCAGGAGCCGAACTGGAGGGGTTCGAAGAGGGAGTGGGAGGAGAGGTGTGCGCAGGTGGTGGGTGACAAGAGGCAGGAGAATGAGGCTACCTGGCGGATATTATATATTTTGGTTGAAAAGAAGTCTGTGACCTACTCTCACTTGGCATTAGATGTGAAGATTGAGGAGGCCTAAGGGGGCGCACGGAGGTGGTAGTGGGTTGTGGGAAAAAAGGACTTAGGGATTGTTTGTTGCCTCCAAGATGATGTTGTAGCAGAAGGCCGTTTTTGCACGTGTCAACAACAACAAAATTATATTTATAGAGCGCCTTTCACGATGGGAGGATGTCCCAAAGCGCTGAACAGTCAGGTGTCGGGGCCTGAGCATGGGGGAGGGGTGGTGTAGGGGTGAGGGAAGGCAGAGAGGTGGGAGGGCGACCGAAGGCATGCTCGAAAAAAAGGGTCTCGAGACCGGCCTTGAAGGAGGCAAGGGAGGAAGCGAGGTGAAGGGACAGTGAGTTGGAGTTCCAGAGTGTGGGGGCAGAGAGGCTGAAGGCCCAGCCACCGATGGTAGGGCGGGTCGGGCATGAGACATGGAGCAGACCGGAGGCCGCTGAACGGAGGGAGCAGGCAGGTTGGAAGGGAGTCAGCAGGTCAGAGAGGTAAAAGGAGCAAGGCCATGGATGGACTTGAAATTGAGGAGGAGGATCTTGAATTCAATCCTCTGGAGGATGGGGAGCCAGTGGAGTTGGGCGAGGGTGGGAGTGATGGGGTGGGGAGCCTGGTGCGTGAGAGTACACGAGCTGCAGAGTTTTGGATGATCTGCAGCTTGTGAAGGGAAGAGTTGGGAAGGCCGATGTGGGGGGAGTTCCCATAGTCGAGGCTTGATGTGACGAATGCATGGGTGAGGGTTTCGGCAGCCTGAGGGGTGAGGCAGTGGCAGAGTCTGGCAATGTTGCGGAGGTGGTGGTAGGCAGTGCTGGTCATGGTGCGAATGTGGGGGAGAAAGGACAGTTCAGGATCGAACAAGATACCCAGGTTCCTGACTGGCTTAGTGAGGTTGAGTGTGCAGCCGTGGAGGCTGATGTTGCCAGCGCCTGAGGTGCAGAGCTGGCATGAGCCAATCAGGAAGGCCTCGGTCTTGCTGACGTTGAGTTGGAGAAAGTTGGCCCTCGTCCAGGACTTGATGTCGGACAGGCAGTTGGTCAGGATGCCAGTAGTCCTGGAGCTCAGGGTGGAGGCAGAGAAGCAGAGTTGGGTGTCATCCTCATACATGTGGACATTTACCCCATGTCTGTGGATGACGTCACCAAGGGGGAGAATGTAGAGAGTGAAGAGGAGGAGACCAAGGACAGAGCCCTGAGAAACACCACGAGACAGTGCGGGGGCTGGAGGAGAAGCCGTTTGCCATGACAAAGTGGAGATGGTGTGAAAGGTAGGACCTGAACCAGTCAAGGACAGAAACTTGAAAGCTGAGGTGGGAGGAGAGGCGGTGGAGGCCGATTGAGTGGTCTACAGTGTCAAAGGCGGCGGAGAGGTCAAGGAGGACGAGGAGGCAGAGGGAGCCCTGGTCACACATGGTTAGGATGTCGTTTGTGACCTTGAACCAGAGCAGAGGGTTTCATGGAGGGAGTGAGAGGAGAGGAAAGAGCGAAGCTGGGAGGCAATGGCTCTCTTAAGGACTTTGGAATAGGAAGGGGAGATTTGAGATGGGCTGGTAGCTAGATAGCTGTGATGGGTCAAGGGAAGGTTTCTTCAAGGTGGGGGTGATAGTGGCTGTTTAAGGGGGGAAGGAATAGTGTCAGATGACAGGCAGAGGTTAATGATGTCGACGAGTAGTGGGGCAAGGAGGTGGAGCTGGGATTTAAGGAGAAGGGTGGGGATGGGTCCAGGGAGTGGGTTTTTAGGGAGTGGAGATGATTGTTATACCAGGGGGATCGGATGGGTTTGGAGATGATCCTAGATTTCAGGGGGACGGGAGAGTTGAAGGTGGAGGAGAGGCGATCATGGAGCAGCTGGACGGCTGCTTCAAGATCTCTGTGGGTGGAAGGCCAAAGGGATAGGAGATTGGAGGATGTGAGGGCCTTTGTGAGGGTCGCAGGGGTTAGCCTTTTCCACGGGCAGAGTTTTAAGAGTTTTGAATTCAGGACTGAACATGAACAGAAAACTCAAAATGCAGAAAATATAATCGGTTGATCCTCAGACACATACTGTAATGCTTATATGGCACGATGGAGGCAACTAATGCTCCCAAAACCACTGCAGTATGACTTAGCAATACACAACAAAGAAACACCAAACCTCCTATACTGCACTAGAGCCCCAAATTATTTCCCTTACTGGATTTGTGGTAAGGAAGAATAATTATGAGCTGAAGTTCCAATATAGTGCTGGGGGTGTGCAGCATTGTTGGAGGTGCTGTCCTTAAGATGAGTTGTTAAACTGAGATCCTCTCTGCCTGTTCAGGTGGATGGTAAAGATCTCATGTCATTATTTGAAAAGAGAAGAGAGTTTTCCTCCCAGTGATCTGGCAAATATGCCCCGGATAAAATTGGTCATCCATGGCTATTTGTTTTGTCCTCCTGACGTGAAAGGTGCAAAATCGAATGCATAGATTATTATTTAACAGAGTGCAATTCAACGTTTCAACTTGTCAAATTTCTGGATGATTTCCAAAAACCTAATTAGCTCTGGTCACGCAATCTAACAATAATCATTGCAAGCTTGGTTTTACCTGGCAACCACACGGTCAAACAGCTGGCGGTCGTCTTCAGAGTAGCCAGGCCAGTCCCTTTGAACCTCCTTATACACAAAATCCTTCACAGTGTACGAATTGTCTTTGGGATTTATATTAGCCACCTATCAAAATGAAAAAAAATGCTGAGGAGACATTTACAAGTAAATTAAACTCATTCCAGATTAATTTCATTCGAGAATGTGTTGTTGTAAACAAGGTCCATTAAGTGTTGATATGAGCAAAAGATCAAAAATGATCCATGAAAGTGAACTATAATATTATTTAAATATTTATTGAAAGAAGCAACTATAAAAATAACAGCAACAACTGGCTACTTGCTGACAGTATTTGTTGGAACACAGTTCCAGAACTGAGCAGCAAAACAGTCAATTCATAAATCTCAGAATACACTAATAACAATAATATATTTTGCATTTGATTTAGCACCTTATCACACAGTCAAAACATCTTAAAGCACTTCACATTACAGTAAAGTGGCGTGACTGTATATTTTGTGGGCATAGCAATGTCCTTCAAACAGCCATGGAGTGTGCAGCCAATTTTATTGTTGGCTTTAACAACAACAACAACAAATTACATTTGTATGGCGCCTTTCGCATCAGGAGGACGTCCAATTACCTGGATGGCAGATGGAACCACAGTTTAACGTCTCATCTGAAGTCAGGCACTTCCAATAATGACACACAACCCAGTACTGCACTAAATTATATGGGTTATTATATTGAACCCACAACCTTCTGACTCAAGAGGCTATAGTGCTACCAACTGGGCCAGGGTGACACACCATTGATGTAGGTCATTCCATTTAAATGTAAATTACTTCATCTGCACCAGTGAAATTGTTTTCAGATTCAATTCTGAATTCTCAATGCTGTATTGTTAAAATACAGCAAATACTTAGTAGAGGCTATTCTTTTAAAATAAAGCTTAGTCTCCAAACAAACTGGTTCTACAGACAAGAGGAAGGAAACCTGCTTCAGGAGGTGCCCTTGTAAACTCAGAATATTAAATTTAAGTATAACTATTGAAATGCGACACATAAATGTGCTCTTGGGAGGAACTTTGTGCTTACTGAAAAAATACATTGTAAAAACACAGTGAAGAGTTCCAATACAACAATGTTTAAGATATTAACAAGCAGACACATAGGAGGCTTCTGGTTCAGGGTCTCTGCACAGTGTTGCATCTCACTGAAGCTTTTGTCACTTTGGTCTGTTTGCCCCTTTAAACCCATTTGAGTACTCAGTTAGTTCTTGCCTGATTTCGTCCTCTATTGCAGCTTTGAAGCAATTTAAATTTTGCTGGTGGACAATAACTGGGTCAGAAGGTTGTGGGTTTGAGTCCTGTGTTGGGGACTTTGAACACATTGTCTGGGAGCTGACATCCCAGTGCAGCATTTTTGTGTGCATTGGGAGTGCTGCATTGTTGAAGTGCGTCCCTTGGATAAAATGTTAAACGGAGGTCCCGTCTGCCTGTTCAGGTGAACATTCACTTTTATTCTGTGAAGCACTTTGAGAAGTCTCGAAGACATGGTAAGTTGCTATATGAAATGCAAGGATTATTATTATTATTATTATTATTATTATTAAAGAAAGCACATTGCTTTTCAAATAGAAAATGTTTCTCCCAATACTCTGGCCAACAATTCTCCAGTTATTCATTTCATAGATGTCTATGGGACATTGCCAGGCACAAACTGAATGCTGCATTCAATTCTAAAAACAGTCACTACACTTTACAAAAAAAACTTTAAATGCTTTGAGATTTTTGATGTGATAAAGTGCTAAATCAAATGTAAGGATTATTTTGTTATTATAGCCCAAACCTTCCTCATTTGACAGTCCCAAACTCACCTCCAGATAGCAACATGTTCCTGGTAATGTGCAGGCGTTTATCTGTATTTACTCTGGTAGCAAATCGTATTTGCTTGAAATTGTAGCTTCACTGCCTGTGGCTTTATGCCACTCCTTCCAATCTGCTAATGCTGCATTCTCAAAAAGCCATAGGTGCCAGTGTACCAAAACATTTAGGAATGAGGGGCAGATTCCCCACCTTTGAGCAGCATCGGTAGAATTCCAGGGACTGGTAGCAATAAATAAATATTCATGTTTAAAAAAGGTTAATTTAATATTAATCAGTTATCATGCAAATTAGGATTGCAAGTAGGCTATGGTAGAAATAAGTTATTCACTTGTGAAGACATGTTTTTCAATCAAATTTATATTTCAAATCTGTTTTAGTCGTAGTGGATAGCTTTGCATTCTGAATTTTTTTAAAGAAAACATTGCGATGGTTTACACATTTTGCAACACAGATTTATTTGGAGTTTAGTAGGCTTCTATTTCTATCTTTTTAATTAATGTAAATGGACATCAGCCTGGTTCAGTTGGTAGAAATCTCACCTCTGATTCAGAAGGTTGTAGGTTCAAGCTCCACGTCGAAAGTTTGAATTCAGTCTATGCTGACACTCCAATATAGTGCTGGGATGGTGGTATGCTGCATTGTTAAAGGTGCCATAATTTGCCAAGATTTTAAACTGAGGTCTCATGACACGATTTAAAAAGAGAAGGGAGTTTCTCTTGGCGCTCTAGCCACAACTCCTTTAGATAAAATTGATTATTCAATTCATAACTATTTGTGGGACATTGCTGTGCACAAACTAGGTGTTGCACTTTACAATAAAATCCTGCAAAGTGCTTTCAGACTTTGACATGGATAGGGTCAATATCAAACTCAAGAAGTATTTATTTAATTAATAAAATTGCCAGCATTATATTCCAGTTAAAATCAACTCCAATCTATAGATTTGAGGTTCAAGTAGAACTACAGAAAATATAGCAACAAAATCCCAATGTGTATAAAGCATCTTAAAACACGTGGTAATATTACTTACAGAATTTTTTTTAGATTTGCCATATTGTCTTTTTAAAATGTTTACTTGCTTTACTTGCTGCTCAAGCTTTACACCTCCAAATGGTGGATCCATTGATCAATGGGTAATAATAAATCTTGCATTTAACATATTGCCTTATCACATCACTGAGATGCATCAAACGCTTCAAAATATTTTACTGTAAAGTGTAGATGACTTTATTTGTGGGCAAATTTCCACACAGCAATATTCCAGAGTCATGAAGTGAATGGCTAATTATATCTAGGGGACTGTGGACTAGGAAACTGGAAGCAACTCCATTATCTTTTCAAATAGTGTTATGGGATCTTGAACATCCATTTCAACAGTCAGACAAGACTACAGTTTAATGTTAAACTGAGGTCCTGTCTGCCTGTTCAGCTGGACTATATGGATCCCATGAAACTGTTCATAATGAGAAGGGTATTTTTTTCCCAGTGTTCTGGCCAACAATCATCCTGATTAATTGGTCATTCACCTCTTGACTGTTAGTGGATACTTACTGTTCACAAAATGGCTCTTGTTTGCCAGCCAGTATACTTGACTGCAAATACTTTAAAGGGTTTTGAGGTATTTTCATGTAGGAAGTTATGAACTGCAAACCTGCAAGCTTTTTTTCTTTCTATATGTCCCCCATTCCAAAATAAATCTAGAAAATCTACATCCCACGAAACATTAATTGACAGAGAACTGAAAGCAGGTGGTCAGTCCTTTCAGCCATAGAATGATGCCTGATCGAGAGGCTAAAAATACATGCCTACAAATGTGCAATTGCTACACTTCACAGTAAACACCATGTGAAGTGCTTTGGGACATTTTGACAACATGAAAAGTTGCCATATCAAGGATTATTATTATTAGAAAAAAAAGAAGCACTCCTCTTTATTAACTATAAAAATATTGATAAGAAAGTGGTTACTTGCAGCTGCTGACCTGTTTTTTTTTTTCAACTTGCCAAAGCAATAAAATAACTGACCTCCATTGAAATTTCTACACTGGCAAACTCAGTGTAGAAACTTCCAGTGTGGACAGCAAAGCATATTGTGTTAAAAGCCAAACCTCAGTGTAAAATATTTTGAATATTATAGATCTCATAAAAGAATCAGAATCCTATAGTAGCTGTCATACTCCAATTATACTTTAGTTTTACACATTTGTCAGAGTCAACCCAAGCAACAAAACATTGAATAAAGTGACTTTTGTATTTATTTATAAAATATAAATATTTATGATATATAACCATATGTTTGAAGCTAAATAAAGAAAATAATGTCTGGATTAAAATCAATATGGAAAGCAATTTCAATTAAAATTTTAAGTGGAATTTAGGCAGAATAGGAAAAAAAAGTTCATAGTAAAGAGAAAGCAATAAATATATTTAGGGAAATATGATCTTTTCCACACAACCAGTTCCAAACGCATTGGGGTCCTATTCAATTTATCAGAAATAGCATCTTATTCTTTTACAATATTATTGCAACCATCAGTGAAACTACTTTGACTGTAAATAAACTAAAATACTTATGGTAGCACTTTGACTGAGCAGTAAGCAGTAGCAGCATATAGGATAGTTGTGCTGAAGTCAGACAAGGCTACACTATACTGTGGTTCCAAAGGCCTCTCTTGCAGCACTTCCAAACATGGTTAAAACCTAGTTAGTGTTGCATGCTTACAGAATGGGATAAAGTTACACTACAGTAGCTATGACCCTGCAAACATTGTTCAGGAATGCATCATATGCCTAATATACAAAGCAAAAAGCTCATAAAACGATTAGTTACTCAGCATTTTCTTGTTATAATTCTAAAGTTTGAATCCAGAAGACAAGAGAAACAAACAGCATATCTATATTATACTCCTGATATATCTTCAATCCAAGAGAAAAGAGCTGAGTGACTGTATATCCATGGTAACTATGTCGACACGAGTCTTCTGGGGCTACGTGTGGTTGAGAGAACTTAACCAACACGCAGAGCCAGTAGCTGTCAGTATAGCCCCAGGCCCACAACTGCCAGTTTATTTGTTAAAAAGTTGTTCCAGTACAGTACAAGTTCATGTATAGGAATATGTCAGATCTAGATATCAGTCTGACTCAGCAGGTAGCACTCTGACTTCTTGACAAGAAATGATGGTTTCAAGACCCATGTTGGGATTTTGGCTCGTAAACCAGTTTATGCTTATACTTCAAAGCAGTGCTGGGGAACACTATATTGTTGGAGGCGCCATGCTTTGAGGAGATGTTAAACTGAGATACCGTCTGCTTTTTCAGGTGGATGCTAAAGATTTCACCAACAATCCTCCAGATAAAATGTTATTCATTTTGTGGCAGTTTGTATGACATTGCTGTGTGCAAATTGGCTATCTGTTTGCCTACAAAATAGTCACTACTACAACAACAAAATCACATTTGTAAAGTGTCTTTCAAGTCGGGAGGATGTCCCAAGGCGCTGAATAGTCAGGGATCAGGACTTGAGCGTGGAGTTTGGGATGAGGGAGGGCAGAGGGGGTTGGAGGGCAGCTGAAGGCACAGTCAAAAAGGAAGGTCTTGATTCGTGCCTTGAAGGAGGCAGGAGAATGAGCAAGGCAAAGGGATTGTGGGATGAGTTCGAAAGAGTGGGGGCAGAGGCTAAAAGCCCAGCCGCTGATGGTAGGGCGGGTTAGGCGGGACATCTGGAGCAGGCCGGAGCCTGCTGAGCAGAGGGAGTGGACAGGTTGATAGGGGGTCAGCAAGCCAGAGATGTAGGAGGGGGCAAAGCCGCGGAGGACCGTGAAAGTAAGGACGAGGATTTTGAATTCTATCCTCTGAGGGACGGGGCGCCAGTGGAGTCGGGTGAGGATGGGGGTGATGGGAGTCACGAAACCTGGTGCGGGAGAGGGCACGAGGTGCAGAGTTCTGGATGATCTGCAGCTTGTGGAGGGAAGAGTTGGGGAGGCTACACTACACATCAAGGTAAATATCATGTAATGTGCAAAATATGAAAGCACTGCCAAAAAGAACCATACAGGCAGAATCAATTGGAACATTTAAAAGGAGGAGAGAGTGGGACAGAGAAAGAGCGGGACAGAGAGAGAGCGCGACAGAGAGAGAAAAGAACCCAAAAGATTATTAAAGGGTATTAAATGGCATGGAGATAAGAGAGCGAGTTAGAATTAAAAGGGGTGAATGGCCTCCTCCTGTTCCCATGTTCCTAAAATACTAAGTCTGATATTTAAAACAGGAACTGAACACAGAATCAATATACAAATCAGGACTAGCTGGCTTCAGACACCCAATTATTTATTCACTACAAACACAAGGTTAAATCATAAAAGGGCATTAATGGGTCATCATAAAGAATAAATTGGACAAACTTATTTATCAACTTTTTTGATTGCCTTGTTTTGAGAATTACATTTAAGAAGCTATATTACTAAGGCTGCAATACTTCTAAGTATATTCAAGCAAATATATCACAAAATATAGTCTAAGAAAAAGAATAGGTAAAGAGCAGGGTGAGGGAGAAACAACAGTAAAGTCAATTTTTTTTAAAACTAGTTAGGAGAGCAGAGGAAATGAAAACCATGTCAGCCATTACTGACCTGTTGCAGAATTGGTCCAAGAGAGTTCTTGTCTTTCTGACTAACACCATCTTTCTGTAATCGGGCCAGTAGCTCTGGCTTCTTGAAGGGTTTTAGTACCAATAGGTGGATCACTCTCTCTCTATACGATCGCTGGGAAACACTGTTGTTTGTATTGCACTTCCTTAATGTATTTGCAGGGTTAATGGGGGTTGACCGTTTCCGTTCAGGTACAGCGTCTGAGATGCCTGGTGCTGGTTTACGAATCTGCACTCGCTTACCTAGAAATGGCACAAAAACAACTTCTAAATGACATGAAAAAGAGACCACACCATTATATTCATGTTGAGATAAGCACATTATCATCACATATCCCAACATAAACACACACTTTATTAATACAGTAATAATGTTAATCAGTTTCCCAAGAATGTAATTTAGTTTCAGATTATAAATAGTTATTCATTATACAACAATGAACGCAGAAAACACTTCCAGGTTTATCATAAAATAAGGTTCCTCAAAGATAGTGCATTAGAGAACCTAGATTAGAGATGAACACCAAAATGGTATTCAGTGACCACCTTTATTTTTACTCCCAGCGTATCTGGTTGAATCAATTTGAACAAAAATACCCATTTTGGTCTTCAACAAGGACTTCAGATTCTCCCAGCATCTTTCTTCCCTAATAATCATGAAAGCAGAGCTGACTGGTTGGTCCGGGACAGCTGTTAGGATGCACAATTGGGCTCAGTGCTCCTGCATTAGGGAAGAAGAGAGGAGGAGGAAAAACAGTCAGGAATCTTATTCCTGATTGTGTTAGAGATCCTAACTGGGAAAGGACAAGAATGGCCTCAGCTGTATTACCCCGTTGTTTAATAACCCCTTGTATGTGAATAAAGGACATTCAGGCATCATACATCTGCAAGAGGGAAACGATGGGAATCAAAACAACCTCCAAGAGAGGGGAGAAAAATTAATTGAATGCACATAATGGGCAGGATTAATACTCCAATACATGCTACTAATCAGTTATTTTAGGGCAGTAAGCAGTACAGATAGCTTATAGGGCTAATTTTGTAGGTATGAGGAAAGATTTAGGTAAAATAGACTGGAGAATAAGATTAAGAGGTAAAAATGTAGATCAACAGTGGCAAATATTTAAGGATGTAGTACAAAATTCTCAGTGGTCGTATATTCCCTTGCGGAATAAGAGTACCACAGGGAAAGCAATTCACCCGTGGCTAACTAGAGCAGTTAGAGAAAGCATCAAATTAAAAGAAAAAGCTTATAAAACTGCCAAGAAAGGCAGCAAATCTGAAGATTGGGAGAGTTTTAGAAACCAGCAAAAAAAAACTAAAAAACTCATTGTAGCTCCACTTCAGTCAGAGACGAGAGAAGTTGTAATGGGGGATAAGGACATGGCAGAGTCCCTAAATGGGTACTTTGCATCTGTCTTCACCCTAGAAGACACAGCCTAGTCTGCCAACAATAGAGATGCACCAAGGGGATAAGGACAAGGAGCAACTTAGGGAAATTTTCATTAGTAGAGAATTGGTGCTAGGGAAACTGTTAGCACTAAAAAGTGACAAATTCCCTGGTCCGGATGACTTGCACCCCAGGGTTTTAAAAGAGATAGCTTATGAGATAGTGGAGGCCTTGTGTCTGATCTTCCAAAATTCCTTGGATTCTGGAACAATCCCCATGGATTGGAAGATCGCAAATGTCACACCACTATTTAAAAAAGGTGGAAAGGAAAAGATGTGGAACTATAGGCCAGTGAGTCTCACGTCAGTGATAAGAAAAAATTTAGAATCATTGATTAAGGATGTGGTATTTAGGGGAGCACAATATAATTAGGCCAAGTCAACATGGCTTTACAAAAGGGAAGTCATATTTGACAAATCTCATAGAATTTTTTGAGGATATTTCGAGTAAACTAGATACGGGTGAATCAGTGGATGTGGTTTATTTGGACTTCCAGAAGGCATTCGATAAGGTGCCGCATAAAAGGTTAGTCCAAAAGATAAGGGCCCATGGAATTGGGGGGAGCATATTAACGTGGATTGGGGAATGGTTAACGGTAGGAAACAAAGAGTAGGGATAAACGGGTCCTTTTTCAGATTGGCGGGATGTGACGAGTGGAGTGCCACAAGGATCAGTCCTTGGGCCTCAGCTATTTACCATCTACATCAACGATCTAGATGAGGACATCAAAGTTAATATATCTAAATTCGCGGATGACACAAAACTAGGAGGAAGTGTCAACACAGAGGATGACATTAAAAAAATGCAGCGAGACATAGATAGGTTAGGTGATTGGGCAGATAGGCGGCAGATGACGTATAATATAGGGAAGTCCGAAGTCATCCACCTAGGTAGCAAAAACAATAGAGCGGGTTATTTTTTAGAAGGGGAGAGATTAGAATGTGTTAGTGTCCAGAGGGACTTGGGTGTCCTTGTACACCAATCACAGAAAGTTAGTCTGCAGGGGCAGCAGCAATTAGGAAGGTGAATGGTATGTTAGCATTCATTATGAAAGGATTAGAATATAAGAGGAGGGAAGTCTTGCTGCAACTGTATAGGGCCCTGGTGAGACCACATCTGGAATACAGAGTCCAGTTTTGGTCTCCTTATTTAAGGAAGGATGTACTTGCCTGGGAGGGGGTGCAGCGTAGATTTACTAGGTTAGTACCAGGGATGAAGGGGATGAGTAACGAGGATAGGCTGACCAATTTGAGCCTATATTCTCTAGAATATAGAAGAATTAGAGGGGATCTTATAGAAACCTATAAGATCATCAAAGGGCATGATAGAGTAGATAGTGGGAGATTGTTTCCCCTGGTTGGAGAAACTAAAACCAGGGGTCACAACCTTAAAATCAGAGGCCAGCCCTTTCGCACTGAGTTGAGGAAGAACTTCTTCACTCAAAGGGTGGTGAATTTATGGAACTCGCTACCCCAAAGGGCTGTTGACGCTCAGTTCTTGAACATATTCAAGACTGAGATAGATAGATTTCTTATTGCAAAAGGTATTAAGGGATATGGGGATAAGGCAGGGTCAGGTTATTAGCTGGAGTTAAATTAGAAGATCAGCCATGATTGAATGGCGGGGCAGGCTCGAAGGGCCGAATGGCCTACTCCTTCTCCTACATGTTATGTTATATTTATTTGAAACACAAGTTCACAGTACTATTCCTCGTGCAAAAAAATGTAATGAATTTTGTTTGGCATTTCCCTGAACTTTCAGGTTCTGGTTATCTGCTATCTCCATTCTGGAGGATGGCAATAATTGCTGGACCAAGTATGTACTATAGAAGCTAGATGATCCACCATAATCATGAAGGAAGACAATCCAATCATCTCCCACTGCCTCATTAATTCAGATCCTACATGCACATGAAGAACAACAAATACCTGAAGTTTCACAGCATCAATTTCTCTTTCCCTGTATATCATGAACAAACAGCACATACTGTACTAGAAAAAATGCGTATTAAAATCACTCTTTGTGATGATTATTTTGGTCTATTTTTGTTTTGTGGTAAACCAAAAACCCATAGAAAGAAATTAACTACCACAGTGCCATGTAGTTTACTGACAAGGAAAGTTAACGCCATATTGGATTAATAAACAAATGGATTTTTGGCCCAAGTATACTTGTTATAGCCCTTGGCAGTTCCTATAGAATCTTATGGGTCTGGCAGGCTCACTGGAATAAAGAGGGGGCAGGGTAATAATACTCCACATTAAATTTGAAAAATGAAATCTAGTTTTAGTTTTTAAAATAGTAATTTTCAAGTTTTAAAAACTACCCAGAACATTAATTGTAAGCGTGTTCAGAATGCATAGAAGAGACGTGTTTGATGCAATTTGTTATTTTTGAACACTTGTTAGAAACATATTAAACAGCTAGAAACGTATGAAACAACAACTTGGTTGTGTGTAAATGTTTGGTGACAGTTCTCAATTTAAATAGTCATGAATCAAGGAAATCCACCTTATGGCTCTAAGATGACATGCTTGATATTGGATTGTTGGAATCAAGTCAATTGTCTGTGGTAATCTTGGTAGTCCGGTTCCTGAACTAGACAGACCTGCAATACTCCAGGGCACTGCTGTTGACAGACCAGCCACCCTGGCTCATCAATCCCACTTGGAAGGGCAGACTGGGCAGGAATTCTTTCCACTTAGCTTCTGATAACCTTGCAAACCAAAGCTCTAATGGGTAAGGTGGCACGAGCTGGACTAAAAGCAGGTGGTTTACCATACAGTACTTTCAATGGTATGATCTGCAGTTTTAGCTGGTTAACCTCCTGAGTACTCACAATACACAACCTGGGGTCCTGAAGTCTTTATCTCTTGCCATTCTGGCAATTAATATTCTCTGGAATTAGGTAAACAAGATGTATCCCTCCAGGGAGAGGTGTGCATTCCATTCCAGACATGTGGGAATTTCCATGTGTAGGCGGCATGCATGGAACTATGTTTGGTTTGGCTGCTCTTAAGTATGTTGATGGGTTTCCACATGTGTTAAAAACCTGGCTGACCAAAAATAAATACATTTTCAACTTAAGACTACCTCAGCAAACAGGTTGCGTAAATTGACCAAGGAATTCTATAGTACTCTGATGAAAGTATTAAAGGACTATGGTTGGGTTCTTTGGATCAGAGATTAGGAAGGATTCTAACAGAAATGTTCAAAATTATGAAACAGCAAGAGATTAAATGGTGAAAGATCATTTCCAGTGATTGGTGAATTCGGCAATAAATTCAAATATAAAGAGGGAGGTTAGAAGAATATTTTTGCATAGAGTCATGGGCACTAACACAGTTGGCTATAATAATAATAATCCTTGAATTTGATATAGCGCTTTTCACGTCGGGAGGACGTCCCAAAGCACTTCACAGAATACACTGTAAAGTGAATTGACTGTATATTTGTGGGCGAACGCGGCAGCCATTGAAAATGACCAATTTATTATTGTTTTTGGTTTTTGGAGGGATTATTATTAGGCGTGTGGAGTAAGTAAACTTGCCCAAGGTTTCGCGCTGCCTGGAATTGAACTCAGGTCTCTCACTTGCAAAGCGAGTGCTCTAACCACTGAGCTATTGAAGCCAAGTCAATCAGAATATATTAGAAAGAGATTAAGGGATCTAAAAGTTAAATTAGGAGGAACTACTTTTGGCAGTGGGTAGTGAGATTGTGGAATCACTGCCTGAAGCGGTGGTTGAATCAATTAGTATAGATGCATTCAAAAGGAAATTATACCTTCATATTAGGGATGGAGGAACAGAAAGGTATAGGAGGGAGTAAGGAATGGGTGAAGACTTGTGTACAGTATAAACACAGGCACGGACTGGTTGGGCTAAGTGGCCTGTTTTTGTTCTTTGTAATCTTTGTTGGTATTTAAAAGGGAATTTGACAGATCCAGTGCTTAGAAGAATAAAGATATAAAATTATTTATTTATTTGAAACAAATAGGGAAATGGAATTAGAGCACACAACATTAGTGGAGAGCTAGAGGACAACGACCGAGTTATGTGCTGAAATTATTTCTTTATAAATTTCTAACTATCTGTAGTCCAGTCTAAGGTAGACCCCGAATTAGGAACAAGTATCGTATTATCATTTTTTAATTGTTCAGTACTCAAGTGTGGATCAAACAGCCAGAATGGTCTTCAGTAACAATCAAAAGTTACAAGAAAATCACCCGCGTAAGCCGCAATTTTGATAGAAAACATTAAGGAATCAATGTTTTGGTCAGTAAAGCTTTGAAATTGAGCATAGAAAAACATGTTTCATGGCTCCTCTTCCCATTTGCTAGTAGGTGAGCTGTTACAAATTTATGCAGACAGAAATGGGCTTAGCTGTATTCACATTTACACTGGGCACCGGATTTGAGTTCTCACAACACTCGTGGAAGCATGAGAAAGGATAAATGTCCTATGACTATCAATAGAAAATCAATTTGAAATTTACTTTTGCAAGACAATCAAAGTAAGCTTTATATAGAATTATATTAGATTGATATTAGCACTGAAACATGCAATTCAGCCCAACTCGTCTGTGCCGATGTTCATACTCCACATCAGCTGCTACCCTCTCTTATCTCATTTATTCATCAAGTTTCCTTTGGAAGACATTACTAGGCAAAGGCAACCATTCACTTTTATAAATCTGTGTGTGTTGAGGAATGATTAAATGCACCATGTGTCTTATTCCATAGAAACCAAAAAAGTGCTAAGTACAATACCTGGTCTAACTGCAATCGCTATATTTGGCCTCAATATCCCCAAGGCTAGGAGGAAGAAAATCTGCCAAGGTTGTTGCACTGAGCTACAGGACTCCACTTTGTGGAGTCCTGTAGCTCAGTGGTTAGAGCACTTGCTTTGCAAGTGAGAGACCTGAGTTCAATTCCAGGCAGGGCGAAACCTTGGGCAAGTTTCCTTACTCCACACGCCTAATAATAATCCCTCCAAAAAACCCAAAACAATAATTAAATTGGTCATTTTCAATCTACGACTGTTTGTGGGACATTGCTGTGCGCAATTGGCTGCCGCGTTCGCCCACAAATATACAGTCAATTCACTTTACAGTGTGTTCTGTGAAGCGCTTTGGGACGTCCTCCTGACGTGAAAAGCGCTATATCAAATGCAAGGATTATTATTATTATTATTATTATTATTATTGATTGTATCTAGAACAGCTCCTGCTGGAAGTACACATGGAGACAGGATTGGGCTTGATGCCCTTCACAGCTGAACAGCACTCACTTCCCAAATTTACATGGGCAAAGTGCAGGGAATCCTACAGTTAAATCATACCCCAACATGAGTCACTATATTTTGGAGTGGAAAGAAAAGAAACCAAGAGAAAAAATTTAAAGTGGGGGGTGGGGGTGGGGGGGGGTGGGAGGGTTGAGAATTGGGCAGCAAGGAATAATTATTTTATGGTATAACACACAGCTTCTTGGGTTAATGCAGCACTAAAAGCCTGTACTCCCAACAATAACAATTTGAATTTATATAGCACATTTCATGAACATCTTGATGCCCTTGAACAAAGTACATAAAGGGCACTAAAGCACCAATGCAGATGTACTGATATTATATCTAGGTAAAAAGAACCTGTTCAACTTGTTCTGGTTGAGAGATAGCATTTTTCAGGTTTGGGAGCTATTTTAGCGCCTTGGGACGTCCTCCCGATGTGAAAGGAGCTATACAAATATAATTTTGTTGCTGCTGTTTACTCAGAAAATCTTCTACAGATAATGCAGTCAGAATTTGCATATTATGAGGACAGCCAGGATTATGAACAATCCTCAAAATATTTTAAACATTTCATGTTTAAATCAATGTAGGATTTCTGAAATAAGTGGAATTAGCGCTTTGTGAATTACACTTATAAAATTATACTTATAAATGGTATTCCCGTCAGAATAGGCTAGCATTTTTTCTAGTCTTGTCAACCTGTGAAATACAGTAAAAGAATGAAACCACTTTACCGAACAAAGCCAGATATTTAGTGTATAAACCTCAACAGCTATTCACGCAGATATAGCTCTAGGTGATGCTGTGTAGAACTACAAAACGGTTTTATTAAAAGCAATTCCCACCATAATTATATTTTATGTAACTAGTTTTAACAAGTAATGTTCCAATGCTATTGATTTACAAGATCAGAATTGTGAAGAACACAATTTAAAAAAAAGATTTGTAAACAAAACTGCACATTTAAGAAAGTGCCCAATACTAAACTAAATGTTAGACAATTATGAAGGAGAGTTTTCAAATTTAATACTACAGTAAATTTTCAGTAAAATTACAAGTTAGAAATGGTCACAGAAAGTGTATATTTAGAATACACTACAATCAACATATTTGCTTCAACAAAAAAAAATGTTTTTTCAAAATGAATGAAAAAGCAATCTTAGCACCCGGTTTTCTGCTGTGAATATATAGAGTATTAAAAGGCAGAAATTCCATTAGCTTGGATTTTCGAAACATTTTTCCCAGAGATATGCTTTTAATGGTTTCTAGAAACAAATTGCCATTCTTCATGTCCGAGCTATTTGAAAACTGAGCTTATTTGTGTCCTTCCCAAATGTCCAAGCATGACCGAATTTTCTGGGAAGCTCATCAGATTTACTCCTCCCCATCCCAGCACTGCTGAGAACAATTGCAGTGCAACACTTCCATCTGATTCAGATCAGCTAAATCAGCATAGAGAATGGAATGATCTTGGACCCTTTTATTCTATGAGGTTCAGTTCTTTCAATTCAGCTTGGAGAGAGCATACTCTGGAGCAAATATGAATATATAACAGATTTATAAAGTAAGCTACATTAGTGAAGTCAATTGTGGAAAACAGCCTGTATTTTTAAAACAAATAATTATTACAATACTTAGCAAAATGATACAGTCCCTGTTCAGGATAAATTCTAAATAAAGTTTGCAAAGCTAACCTCCATAGGTCAAAATTTAAAGCTTCCACAAAAAGAATTTGGCAATAGTAAGAGAAAGCATGAACAAAAGTTCTAGACATCAATAACTGACTGCTGCAGAAAAAGCTATAATAGTGCGTGAGCAAATTACATTTAGATAATAGGCATCAACTTTTTAAACTGACTACATTTGAACCCACACAAGAATGTCTTAATAGGTTAAGGTACAAAGCAATCTGTCACGTAGACCTGCATAAATAGCCCAGTGATGGGTAAAACAGTAGAAACCGGTAACAATACTAATAATTATATAACTGAAAACAATACTTTAGTCTCATTCATCAGTCATCCAGCCCGCTTCAATTTAGATGGGGGCACATATGCACCAATTAGTGTATTGTAAAGAGTCACTAACTTTTTATCAAACCAGAACAATCCATCTCAGAGGAAGAATGATTTAAGAAATGCAGCAGATTAATCATCATAAAGGTAGTACTTGCTAAAATAAGGCTTTTAACACTTGCTAACTTAAGAGTGATTTTAAATTTGGAATGACTAACATTCGGATTTTAAAGTTTAGACTTCACTTCCAAAATAATGCAATCCATTTGATTTCTAAAGGAGAATTAATTGTGGAAACATCAATTGAATGAATGAAGTATCATCAGCATGAAACCCTTGTGGAGCAAAGGCAAGCAGTAAGCACATCAAAATATTAGATTTTTTCTTGCAACAGTTTTCAGCAACAAATGTGAGTTGGACCTATTATGCTTTGTTTTATCTCAAATCAGCAGAGCACTGTAGCTCAATAAAATAAGTAATACAAAACTAATAAGATAAGTCTAGGTTGTCACTATTGTGGCAAACATTCCAGGTGATTTTCCTGTAATCTACCTTACTAAATTATGAAAACTTTAAAAACACAAAAAGCAGACACTAGCCCTTACCTACATAACGTCCACCTGGTTTAATAACTTTGGTACTTCGACTACGAGTTTCCTCCTCTGCTTGAGTCATCCGTTCCCTGGTAACTTGATAGGAATCGCTGGTTGCACATATTGTAACTTTATCCTGTATGCTTCCAAAGCAGTCCAGTTCTGCAACTCCATTACTAGGAAAATATAGTTTGGATGCATTGGTTAAGCAGAATAAAATATGCAGTAAATGTCAAAGTTCCAATATCTATAGATATCAATGTTAAGCTTGATTTGAATAGGCTGCTTTGTTTAAATATGTGACTTCTGATTTATTATTTTTAAGATGTGGCTATTTAAATGTGCATTATTACAATTTATACAAATAAGTTAAATTTCAAAACCAGTTATAAATTAGAACACCTTCCCACCCAATGAGAATGTATTATGCCTGCAGGAATACCACATTATAGAGTTTATATAATAGAATGCATTATAATCTACTTCAGGGAGGAGAAAGCTTTCAAGAGTTGGCAGTTTAAGTATTTGAAAGTTATTTTTGCATATTTTATTGTTTAGCCATTTAGCTCCCCAATTTGATTATAAAATCTATTTTTAACTGGTTAACTATTCCAACTGTTATTTACTTAATGAGTAAGAAATTCAAAACAAAATCTGAGTTATAAATTACCTGTTCAAAGAGACCATAACATATAATACTTATGTGTTTTCCATGCCTAGTCCTTTTTCCCTTATTATATTTTAATATATTGGCCTCTTGGGGCTTTTCAGCAATAATATGTTTTTAAGATTCTTATGTGCGTTTTCCTCTGATTTGACTCTCTGGTCACGTGATTAAATATTCTCCACATTGATATGTTCTAAAATATTTTCAAATTTAAAATTATTTACTCGTATGTTCATTTACATCAAGTTAAGACTTTGGTTTCCTTAAAATTCTTACTTTAAAATCAAAATCTCTAAAAGTGTAAAATCTCTAATCTAGCTCAAACTAGATTCCCCCCTCCCCCCGGCTGTTTCTGCTCTTTTTGCAAGTTCATTTTTTAATAACATAACAATGTCTGTTGCTGAACAGTAGAACCAGAGGACACGGCCTATGATTGAAGGGGGTTAAATTCAGAACAAATCTATGGAAACACTATTTCAGTGAGCGAGTTATAAACTTATGGAATTGGCTCTCTAGGGAGACAGTGGAAGCAGAAAATGATGTTTGTTTCAAGAACAAATTAGATAGATTTCTGCTAGAAAATAATATCTTGGGATACAGTGCATAGTTTGGGACAAGACATGTCAAGCAACTACCAGGATGGTGGAAGGCGAAGTAGATGGACCTTGGTCTCTTTTGCCTAGCAAATTCTTATGTTCTTGTTCTCCTTTTGCACTTCCAGTGAACTTGATTTCTGCATCTATACCATACCCATGCATCACAAAACTTGATGGCTAAACTTACTGATCTTCGGCACACAAAGAATAATGGAACCCAGATACAATTCTGGAATGGAGCTTCAATATAAAAATTCAGGCCCAGAACAACGATTTGGAACTCAACATCTCAAGAGTTCAAGTTTTCAATCAAATGTCATACGACTGCACTCCAGGTTGCCAAAGCACTGATTTCAGTATTAGTGAATGCAGCTGTTCTAGGCTGCACTGTTGAAACCAGACATGGGAACAGCTAAGGTCAGGGTGATCCAACCTTTTGGTTGCTGAGGGCCGGATGACGGATTTGAGGAACATCTGAGGGCTGCATAAGCAATATTTTTGTATCTCCCTTCCAGATACATAACATATGCAGCTCCTTTTTCTCATCAAAGGATGTCTATAAACCCTTGATAATGCTAGCTGGGCACCCAAGCTGGGGGTGGGAGCTAAGGAAGGTGTGGTTGGGAGGGGACAAGATGATAAAAGTACAGTCAAAGAGCTGCGACGTGTCTTGAAAGAGGAGAGTGAGTATGTCGGAGGGATTCCGGAAATGGAGCTCCAGAGAGTGGAGACAAAATGGTGAGGCGGATAGGGTGGGGGGACATATAATAATAATCCTTGCATTTGATATAGCGCTTTTCACGTCAGGAGGACGTCCCAAAGTGCTTCACAGATCACACTGTAAAGTGAATTGACTGTATATTTGTGGGCGAACGCGGCAGCCAATTGCGTACAGCAATGTCCCACAAACAGTCGTAGATTGAAAATGACCAATTTATTATTGTTTTTGGTTTTGGAGGGATTATTATTAGGTGTGTGGAGTAAGGAAACTTGCCCAAGGTTTCGCCCTCTGCCTGGAATTGAACTCAGGTCTCTCGCTTGCAAAGCGAGTGCTCTAACCACTGAGCTACAGGACTGCACTCCAGGACATGAAGCAAGCTGGTGTTTGCTGGGCAAAGGGAATGACTGGATCAGCAAATTGCAGAGGTGGTGGGGTGGGGGGGCTGCAGAGGATATTCTCACTGGGGAAATTGGGAACTGGCTATGACGAAATTGCACAGCACATCGCTCAGTCCCCAGCCCCCATCGCATGCACAAACTCACACACACACAATCACCCACTTTCTCACACGCGCGCGCCCCCACTTTCTCACGCGCACGCGCCCCCACTCGCGCGCGCCCCCACTCGCGCCCCCACTCACACACGCGCGCGCCCCCACTCACACACGCGCGCGCCCCCACTCACACACGCGCGCGCCCCCACTCACACACGCGCGCGCCCCCACTCACACACGCGCGCGCGCCCCCACTCACACACGCGGACCCACTCACACACGCGCGCGCGCCCCCACTCACACACGCGCGCGCGCCCCCACTCACACACGCGCGCGCGCCCCCACTCACACACGCGCGCGCGCCCCCACTCACACAAACGCGCGCGCCCCCACTCACACACGCGCGCGCCCCCACTCACACACGCGCGCGCGCCCCCACTCACACACGCACCCTCTCACACATATACATGCACACGCATACACGTGGGGTAGCGTCTCAGAGAGCTTAACAGTGACGGAGCCTGACTCTGAGCTGGGGGGAGTGGGGGGATGGTTGATGGCCGTAAGCACTGTCGAAGAAGGTTTTCAGATGGGACTTGAAAAAGGGGAGAGAGGGGCAAGACGGAGGGATTGAGGGTTTGAGAGTTTCAGGGCGTAATGGCTGAAAGTGCGACCTCCGAAGGTGGGGCAGAGGGTGCAAGGGATGAGCAGGAGGCCTGTGCCAGTCGAGTAGAGGCGCCGGGTGGTGGATTGGGGAGTGAGGAGGTCGGAGAGGTAGGAAAGTGTCAGAGAGTGAAACCATCCTCTTTCTCTCTCTCTCTCTCACACACACACACACACAAAATCATCCTCTCTCACACACAAACACACTCACCCCCTCTCACACACACACACACACACACACACACCCTCTCTCTCTCTCTCACACACACACACAATTCCCCTCTCGCACACAAACACACTTCTCTCTCTCAGAACCACCTTTCTCTCTTTCTCGCTCACAAAACTACCCTCTCTCCCACACAACCTCCCTCGTTCTCATACAACCATCACACTGCGCTCTCTCTCACGCACACACCCACCACCTCTCTCTCACTCACAACAACAAATTACATTTGTATAGCACCTTTCACATCAGGAGGACGTCCCAAGGCGCTGGACAGTCAGGGTTCCGCACCCGAGCTGATGGTTGGGATCAGGAGGACTGGAGGGCATGGGTTTGGAGGGTGACCCTCTCGCTCTCTCTCACACACACACCCTCTCACTCTCACACACACTCACCCTCTCTCACACACACACACACACTCACCCTTTCACACACTCTTTCACCCACAACCACCCTCTCTCTCACACACACAAAACCATCCTCCCTCTCACACATACAACCATCCCCTCTCTTTCACACACACAACCATCCTCCCTCTCTCCCTCACGCACATAACCATCTTCTCTCTACTAGCACCTATTGTTGGAGTCGGTCAGGAAGTTCCTCCCGAGCTGAGGGGATGGCAACCATGTCTTCCCAACTGCTGGCTCCTGCCAATGCCAATGAGAGAATGGAGGCTGGGAGGGAGCGAGCAGATGAAATTAGCCCCCAGGCTGGATGCAGCCTGTGGGCTGCCAGTTGGACCACCCTGTCTTAGGTAATAACTGAAATTATAAATGGCAGTTCTATATAGGATAGAAAACAAACCTCTTCATTATTACAGTTTAAACAGAATGGTGGGGGAGGGCGAAGAGAAAAGTTTTGAAATTATTCTTCCAGAGCTTCCGGCTTATTTACACCTATTGAAAGAAACTTACCTTTACTTAAATACAACTCCAAAGTAATTTGTTTTTAAGTTTATAGTTTTGAATTTACAGTAGTTTCCTTCATACTCAAGAAACACATTAACGCTCTGAAACTCTATAGTCTTTCCATTGTAGAACGAGGCAGTTTCTTTTATGGGTCTTGTGCTCTAGCCTCAACTACCCTTACTGGTAATCCAGCTGGTGATTACCGTCTGAATAAAGAAACACTTCAGTGACAATATAAACATTGTCTTGCCAACTATTTTCTAAAAAAATTCTGAAAGAACAAAGGGGGATACTGGTTGGCTCCGTTCAGACTGGAATTGCAGTGGGTCAATCCCTGAAGTTCCATTCACAATGAAGTGTGAAGGAGACCGGTTTGTTTGCAGTAATATTGCTGTAGTCAAAAGCAATGTCGAAAGATCAAATAGCGATGTGGCGTCCAAGCGTTCATAGCAACAAATCTCTTCCTTCCCTCTCCCCACCCATAACCACAAATTGAATAGCGTGTGATTGAACAACAACAACAAAATGACATTTATAGAGTGCCTCTCACTTCGGGAGGACATCCCAAGGCGCTGGACAGTCAGGGGTCATGAGGTTGACGATTTCCAAATTTGAATGTTTTGTTAAAGCTCAAAGAGTAGATTTGAATGAAAATCTGTCTAGAGAATGTATTCAACTGCGAGGGAAACAAAACAGACTCACTCCAGGTCAACCTGCACAGAATGTGTGCGAGAGAGATTTTCTGTTTTCTTTTACATCTTTTAGCCAATACTTTATTTCGCAGTTTAAAATACAATACAAAATGACATTTGTAGAGCGCCTTTCACGCCTGGAGGACGGCCCAAGGTGCTAGACAGTAAGGGATTTGGACACAAGCCTGGTGGGGGGGGGAAGAAGGGGGTTGGTGTAAGTGGAGGGTGGCTGAAGGCACAGTCGAAGAGGAGGGTCTTGAGACATGCCTTGAAGGAGGCAAGGGAGGGAGCAAGGATGGATTTCCAAAGGGTGGGGGCCGAGAGGCTGAAGGACCGACTGCGGATGGTGAGTCGGGCTGGGCGGGGGATTTGGAGCAGGCTGGACCATGTTGAGCAGAGGGAGTGGCCAGATTGGTAAGAGGTTAGCAAATCACAGAGGTAGGAAGGGGCAAGGCCGTGAAGGGCCTTGAAGGCGAGGATGAGGATTTTGAACTCTATCCTCTGAGGGATGGGGAGCCAGTGGAGCCAGGCGATGATGAGTGTGATGGAGCCTGGTGAGGAAGAGGACACAAGCTGCAGAGTTCTGGATGATCTGCAGCTTGTGGAGGAAAGAGTCGGGAAGGCCAACAAGCAGAGAGTTGGCAAGGTCTCTTTTGAATGCAAAATAGCTATAGACGGCATTCAATAAAGCAAATACTAAGTCATGATAACTCCATATAAGGGCATAGGTCTTTCACATTTTTAATAAATTCAGGAGAAATATAAAAAACTCTGAAAGATTCATTGAACATGCCTCTAAAAATTTTCCAGATATTCTTAGAAACTATATTGTTTTAGAATTAACGTTAATTATCGTCAGTGAATGAGGTAGCAAAAGTTTGGGCTTGGTCGGTTGAATCAACAACAACACAAAATTACATTCGTATAGTGGCTTTTACATTTGGAGGACTTCCGAAGCGCAGGAATCCTCTCCTATGTTGAAATTTCGATGACTATAAAGGAACACATGCAAAATAACTGATCATGATGAAGTAGGAGAGGGTCGAAATACCAATTTATCACTGTGAGAACCCACTATTAGTATCATTCACATCCAAGCCAGGAAAAATGTGACCCTATCCAGAAGAAAGCTCCCATTGCTTCTACCACAACTGCATGCTTTAAACCCAACCTCAGTACGTATGTATGAAAGGGAATTCACAACCCATTTTTTCCCCCCACAACAGTCAACCTCTGGCTTCTGAACAGATTATTAATGTAGTGTGTTTTTAGTTGAATTCTGGGTAATTTTATAATAACTTTGCTTATTAACAGAGATATACATTAAAACTGTGTAAACTAATTTTTAGTGGAACCCTTGCAGCTAACCGATGGGAGATTTTCATTCCTTTAGTCTGTGATCGCACCAGTCCTTTCCAGGCTCCACTGGTTCCTAATTCCCGAACGGATCAATTTCAAGGTCCTCTTACTCGTTTTCAAATTCCTTCATGCCCTTGCACCTCCCTACCTATCTGACCTGCTTACCACACCACCGCTGCCTCCACTCAGCTGGCTCCGGTCTCCTGTTTGTCCCTCGTCCTCTCCACCATTGATGGCCGTGCCTTCAGCCACTATGCCACAAAACTCTGGAACTCTCCCTCAATTCCTCCGCCTTGTTCCCTCCCTCCCCACTTTCAAATTCCACCTAAAAAACATCCTTCTTGATCGTGCTTACAATGAACTCCCTCTCCCCCTTGCTCATTGTCAGACTCCGCCACTTTCAAGTGCTCCGGGATCACTACCCGACGTGAAGGGCGCTATACAAATGCAAATGCGAGTTATTGTTGTTATGAATTCAAACTCCAGGGGTCCAGATGTGAAATGAATGTGCTAACCTACTACCTGTACTTTTACCCTTGGCCCCCATGCTAGCAATTATAATTTTAGATATTGATGGTCTAAACATCACTTCAAAACACAAAGTATAAGGCTTTTGTAACAGCAATTTTGTTGAGGTTGCTTCATTCATCTATATACAATTTGAAGTAAAATTGTAGAAAATGCAACCATTTAAAATTATGATCTGATTGACCAGAAAATATGTTTCTTGAAATACTATCAATTACCATCAGAATCCTTTATACTATGGATAAAATATTTAATCCCATAACCAATTGTCATAAATTGAAATTTTAGAATGACTTGACAGATATGCAACCAGTCCTTGTAAAATGATCCAACTCTGCATTTCCCAAAATGTTATCAAATTGGTATTGTATGTATGGAAGAAAAAATAGATTCTTCACCACTGCACAGCAAAAGTTCTTTGACCTTCTGACATTAAATATGTTCTTGCATAAAAGCTGTGAAATAAGACGAAAAACAAAATGCAAAATCTTAGGCCCCACTGATGATGCAGCAGATTAGATCATGCAATTTGGGAGTTATTTGGACAATCAATAAATGCTGATTCAATAAATGGTGGTTAATACATTCGGCAGCATAATCTCCAAGGAAGAATTAGCCTACAAATACAAAATGTTTGTTTTTTTAAAATCACTGAACCGTCACTGACTATCAACATTTGAATTACAGTACCTGGAGATGGATTGCTGGACACAGTCAAAGCTTCCCTGAGGATTATCTTTTCCAATGTTGGACACATAGAAGTCAAAATTTCGCACTTCTTTGGGGGCATCTGTTCTTGGAATCTTTACCAACTATAGAGAAATAAAAATGAATGCTAATAATTGAAAATAATTAAATCAGATACTAGATAAATAAAGCATATACAATGTTAAGCTTTCATTGGTTAATCTTCGATGAGAATTTAGCTGAATATACGTTTTCAGTATGGCACTTCAAAGCAAAATGCAACTGAAGGTTTGCAATATAAACCTGAAACTCTGAATCTTTCAGTAGGGAATTCAGTTATATTGTGAACTGTATTAAGTAGGGAATTCAGTTATAATAAAACAAGTTTGCCTTTCTCCATTAGTCAGGTCTCTGAGATGGAACATTCTCCTTCTGTCAAACTACGACTGTACTCCAGATTTTTATCTTGTAGTTTTCTAATCCCCATGTGCCTATCTTATAACTGGAACAGATATCAGTTTTCTCCTGACAACACAAGAGAAAAACTAGCAACTCATCTTACAAGACAAGATGCATGATGATAGACAATGAAACAAGATAGAAGTATAGTATTTAGCATAATTGTGTTAGCTGAAGAACAGCCAAGGCAGACTGACACGATGAGAGTCTGAAGCAGGGAAGAAAGTAATCAATATTTACTATGTACAATTAATCTTTCTTGGTAATTATCGATTTGTAGAAAAACCCTAATTATATTTTGATGTCCGAATTCAATACAAAGCAATATAAAATATTCACTCGCATTGCAAAGAATTACCAGTTTATTCAGTTCCAACTTGTATAATGTTGAAAGGCTAATGCCAAACAATGCAACGTTCTAAACTGTGCTACCAACACCAAAGAGAAATATTTAAAAAAATTTCCCCACAAGTTCTTTAAAATTTTGAACCAATACAGTTTATAAATATCTTTCAAAAGTTTCATAGCGCCATGAGGGACGTGTTGGGTACGCGTTCTGGGGCAATCCTGCAATTTGGAGAGATTTATAAAATTGAATCGTTCCTATTTTCTGTGCAGCCCACAAACAATGGACTTATGGCATGGCAAATTGGTCTAATGAATAGGGTCAATGGAAAATGTCCCACCGTGACCAATGACTTGGAAATTACTCATATGACTACAGATACTGACTGCTACAAGTAGGATTTGTTTTGTAATTTCCTATGTTGTCTGAAACATTCAGCCTTTTTCAAAAAGGCAATACGGAGGAAAAGTCCACTTTTGGTTCAATGGTAAAAAAACAATATTAAGCTTTTTGTGACAAAAAAAAATCTGTTGTTCTCAAAGGAGTGATTTTACGTAGGATTTTGGGACAATAAACTACTGTAATACCTTTTGTCAAGTGCGTGGTATTTTAAGTCAAACAACTGAAATGCGTTTCACAATGCTGCTATTTGTGCAGTTTAGTGATGACAAGTTACAGCTCTCCTTTGAATGTGAAATGGCCATACATTTGATTCATGAGTCATACAAATGTACTATCATGCACAATAATAATAATAATAATTCTTGCATTTGATATAGCACTTTTCACGTCGGGAGGACGTCCCAAAGCACTTCACAGAACACACTGTAAAGTGAATTGACTGTATATTTGTGGGCGAACGCGCACAGCAATGTCCCACAAACAGTCATGGATTGAAAATGACCAATTTATTATTGTTTTATTTTTTTGGAGGGATTATTATTGGGTGTGGAGTAAGGAAACTTGCCCAAGGTTTCGCCCTGCCTGGAATTGAACTCAGGTTTCTCGCTTGCAAAGCGAGTGCTCTCACCACTGAGCTACAGGACTTCACAAGTCATAGCACAGCCTAAAACTCCCTTCCACTGGTAAAATGTATTTATTGTGTGAATTGGTAGAATCTTAAGGAAATCTTTAGAATAAATCACTAGCGGCAAAGTTCAGCTACTATTGATTCAAATTCACTTTACATATATTAACTTGCTAAAATTCATCTCTAATTTGAGTAACAACAGGCACAGTTATTGAAGTTTTATTTATCTAACCGAATATGCAATTTTGTGGTGATGGTACACTTATTTGCACATATAAAGAACACAAAGCCCATCATGTGTCCTGCACCCAAAGGGATATCACTTGATTTATCAAGTGCCTTGAATGTGGAATGATCTCATTTGATCGAGAACTAATTTCAGCCAATTTAACAGGTGGTTTCAGGTACCAAACACAAAGTTAGCAAAATTCATACACAGTGCATGTTCCACTAAGACAGATACAACTTCTTAAACCAAGCCAATTTAAACTTATGTAGTCTTTGGCCCACCAGCCTGATCAGCTAATATTGCTTTTCAACTACTCGTTTTGTCTGCAGAGATCATTTGTAGTGTAAAATGGCCGGTTCTAAATTTGGCAAAAAACAAGTTTGCTCTGTTGTTTCCTTCACATTCTCCAGGGTGTTCAAAAAGTCATGTTCCTCCCCCTGTTTTTTTTAATCTTACAATGAATTTTTATTTTCTGTTGCAGATGAGTCAAGTGTAAAAACGTCTGATACCAGTAACTTCCTCATCACTCCATCCAGGTTGCGGAAGATATCACACCGAACCAGACGCCTAGAAAGGCGCTCTATAAATGAAATCTTGTTATAAACAATAAATGGACAGTGTTATATCCAAACCCACAGTATAATCAATGGGGAGGGGGGAGGGGTGCTTGAGGTGTGGGGGAAGAAAATGGTCTGTATGCATCTCCACTGTTATAATTAACATAATACAACAACTTCAACAATAATACCTTGCACTTATATAATGCTCTCCACGCAAGGTAGCGTCTCCCCTGCTCCACTATGTTCACTTAACAATGGCAGAGCCAATGGTGGGGCGAAGGGTGCGAGCGATGAGCAGGAGGCCGGTGTCAGTCGAGCAGTGGTGCCTGGTGGTGGGTTGGGGAGTGGAGGTTCGAAGATGCCACAGAGCGAAGGGATTTGAACACGAGTGTGAGGATTTTGAAGTCAATCCGTTCGGTGATGGGGAGCCAATGGAGCCTGGACAGAACTGATGAGATGTTTGTTCTGGGTAAGTATGCAGGCGGCAGAGTTCTGAAAGAGCTGGATCGTTTGAATAGTGAAGCTGGGGAGCCCAGTAAGGAGTGTGTTTCAGTAATCCAGACGGGAAGTGAACAAACGCATGCACGAGGGTTTCGGCTGTATTTGGGGTAAGGTACGGTCGGAGGCGGGCAATGTTGCGGGGGTGGAAGAAGGTGGTCCTGGTCAGGGACCGGATGTGGAGGAGCTGGAAGAAGGTGGTCCTGGTCAGGGACCGGATGTGGAGGAGGAAGGACAGCTGGGGGTCGAACCAGACCACGAACCAGACGCTTCGGATGCACACTGGTTCGGTGAGTCTGAAGGACAGCCCAGGAAGGTTGAGGAGTTCCGATCCTACAGGAGTGAGGACGTTGACAGGAGCCAAGCTGTCTTGTCCACATTCAGCTGCAGGAAGTTTGCACTCATCCACACCCTGATGTCTGCCAGACAAGCTGATGGAACATTGGAGGAACTGGAGTTGGTACTGAAAGGAGGCAAAGTAGATTTGTATGTCATTCACGTCCACATGTCTGCAGATGACATCGCCCAGAGGGAGCATATCGATAAGGAAAAGAAGGCCAAGGGTGGAGCCCTGGTGACTGGGTGGGGGCAGGTGGAGAAACCATTTGCCGAGATGAAATGGAGGTTGTTGGTTAAGTAGAACTTGAACCATGAGAGTACGGTTCCACTAAGGCGGATGGGGGAGGAGAGGTGGTGGAGGATGGCGTGGTCGACTGTGTCAAACTCGGAAGAGAGATCCACGAGGTTGAGGAGGCAGAGGGAGCCCTGGTCACAGATAGATGACATCATTTGTGATTTTGATTCAAGATTTGGTTTCCCTCCATTGCTATATTACTGCAAACTGATCATCACATTCTATTTAAGTTCAAACACTCTGTGGAGCTGTACATGGTAACTATTCAACATAAATAAATCACCAGGCTGATAAATAGGCACAATCAATTAACCCAGAATAGTGTATGTTGAACAAATAAAGCAAGCAGAAAAACATTCGAAGCCTGGATCATTAATAACTATCAATTGCACAACCATTGAAGAATTAGAATGCACATAGGTATTGAGCTTGCTCTCAGCCCATTCATAAATGCACTCCACAAGATATTAATCTACCATAATATATATGCAATAACAGCCACTTACTAAACTGCGCTCCATGCAAAATAAATCACCAATCTATAATAATGTACACAACTTGCTCAACATTTGTAAAGGCCAATGATATACTTTGTACCTTTTAAGAATGACAGCATTACATTTGTACAGTTTATGAAAATTTGACAGAGTAAAAATAAAATCCTTACAATCTTGCAAAGTACTGGTACAAACTGCACTAGTAAAAAGATGATTATTTGTGCGTGAATGTAAGTTTAACATCGCTTCCTACCACATGCTGCACCTAGATCTGAACAGCTGTTGAGTGGCTCAACAGTTGACTTATCTACAATATGCAGCACTGCTTCTAAACAAGATAGCCAGAATTTACGATTATTCCATAGTTGGCATTAGGCAAGCTTTAAAATCATGAATGTACACATAGCTACAATACAATCCACTTATCTTTTCCAAATACAACAAAAAAGTGTCAGTAACATGAAAAGACGATCTACCCCAACAAACTCACCCACTTTCAGTTCAACTTATCTTGCTACCTTTTCATTTGACCCTTAATTTCCTCTCACTAGAAATCTAGATAATCTAGCAGTCTCCTCTTTATATTATTTTCTTCAATTGGCTTCTACATAGCAGTCTTTGTGTTAAATAGCTCTCAATTCCCTAGTTATTCCTAATTTCTGAATATTTAATTAGGTTCTCTAGTTTTTGAACATCAGCGTGAATAACTGGCCTGGATCAAATCCCTGCAACATTTTAAAAATGCTGATATAGCACTGGGAGTCCAAGTTTTTAAAGACAATTACAACAACAAACTGCATTCATATAGTGCCTTTCAAGTCGAGAAGAGGCGCTGAAGTGGAGAATTACGTTTAAGTGGAGAATGTTTAGAT